GGGGGGGGGAGGGAGGAGGGGGGGTCGTTCTCTTACGTTCCCTGCACCCGTGGAAGATGTATGGCATAACAAAATCGATAGCGCCACCTCTGTAACCTCTTTGACCTTCCTTAAGTATTCGTATCAGCTTATGCGATTGTTCAGGTTAGTTTTTACCTGGAACCAATCTAACGGTGGACTGAGTGCCTTCTATTTTAACAAGATATGGGAGTACAGAGAACGTACGTGAGCGTAGGGGTATCGTGTATATTGATTTATATATATGTTCACTGATAACCCAAATCTAAATAAAACAAGGCGCCTGTTCGTTTATGCGGAACAACCGGTACGTCCGTTTTTAAATGTAACGTTTTTGGGTATAAATCCTAGGACCTGCAAAAGTACAAGGCTTGGTCAAGGCTCGCCTGAAAGCAGCATCAGATTACTAGGTCCGACCTTATTTCATTAACGAACAACTTTGGTCAAACCGGTTCAACTCCTGGCGCACATATATGCAACGATTTAGGTGTATATAAATTACAATTTAACGATGAAAGCGTTATTAGCAACTGTTGCTATAACGAACACGAAGAGTTTCTAATTATAAAGTGAGCAATGTAGATATCGACAACGCTGTTCTCACCGCCATTAGTTTGTTTTTAACTACACCAAGCATTTTGTTTTAATTCACAAGTCTGATTCTGCATGGTGCCTTAATGTTGCCGGGAAGGTGAACAACTGCCATCTTTCATACTATTTAGTTCTGAAATTGATTAATATATCTTTTTGGTGTTAGCTTTGTGTAACAGTGACCACTTTAATCTTTATACATTTATGTTCTGGTGCGAATAAAGGACGTCGTCGCGCTTATTCTTCGGTTATTACACATGTCAGTTTTGGTACGATTTTAAATCTCTATGATTTGTTATTATTTATATACATTGGCGGTCACTGGTAATATTACTGAACAATATGCTACGTATACTGTATAGCGCTTAGATATTCTGGCGTGTTTTGTTTTTTTGTGATTTTCGCGATCATTAGACTTTTTACGAATTCTTAACTCATTCGTCCCTGAAGATACATTTGAACTTCTAAAGTTCAAAGTTTGGACTAGTTCATTCTGAAATTTCAGGAGTGAATGAGTTAATATCCCCGAATTAGGGATACTCACGTTTGTCTAGGAAATCTTTTAATTTCCCCTTGATAGTCTGTACTGCGTCCTCCTTATCCTCCCACTGGAGGTACCTCTCACTCGCCATCATGGGATGCAGCGCTTTCGGCACGCGTTTGACTTTCAGATATTCACTTGCCACGACGATGAAATCTTCTATAACTCCTTTGGCCTTCAACATAATGACAAATTCTAATTCGAATGCATACCTCGGGTCAGAAACATAGTTATTACTAAGGATAATAATTACCGTTCTGCTAGCTTCCATGTTGTCTACGATATTGCCTATATTTGACTTTCCGGGTTCCGCATCTCTATGATCAAAGTAAAGCTTGTGTTCACCTCTAAAATCCACGTTCATCAGCTTGCCGTTATCAATATCCATAAGAATATTATCAAGAACCCATCTCCAATCATCTTCTGCACACGACAAATATGCGTCAAACGTGTTGTCTGCGCCAGGGATGGGTTCGTAGTTTATTGGGGCCTTCCGCACTTTTCTGCGAACACGTCTGCACATGCGATGGCATCGGAGTCGGATAAACCATCTCTTACGGTAGAGACAAATTATAATTATGACCACTACGAACACAGCCACCCCTACCACGGTCAAGAGCACTGGCAAGGTGAAGAACAGACAGTTGATTTTTGTCCTGTCGAACGACAAGAGCTTTTTTCCGCGCCAAGCAACGGGGCTGTTACAAACGTAGGAAGTCAACCCAGGAATTGCGATGTCCGTCGTATTGACCCAGTCTCTAAACCAACGTAGATCACATGTACAAGCGAAAGGGTTTTCTGTAAGATTGAGTGACATAAGGTTGCCCAAATCATGAACGGACGTACTGTTGACCAGTGCTATCAGATTGTGACTAAGATCGAGAGTGTTTAATTTTACCATCTTGTTAAAGAGATGGGGACCCCAGGCGGACAGGCGGTTCTGACGAAGAGTAAGTGATTGCAGAGTGTTAAGATCGCGAAAACTGGAGTCATAGATAAATTTTATTTGGTTATTTGTCAGGTCAATAGTTTGTAGTTTGTGAAGTCCTGCAAAGAGTTGTCCCTCTCTGTCGTGTTCCATGGCAAGCCCGATGTTGTTGTTCTCCAAATGGAGATATTGGAGGGAAGTCAATTGATTAAATAAAGTCGTGGGCATTATTCCGAGAGCGTTGTCGGCCAGATTGAGATTCTGAAGAGCTTTCATAGAATCAAACAAGGAGGACGGATCAGGAATGCTTTTGATGTTGTTCCTGTTCAATTCAAGAGATGACAGGCGTGTGAAGGGCTGAAATACCCTCCCGGGTAGGGTACTGATCTTATTCTGAACGAGATGCAAGGTTTTCAGATTGACAAGCCCGTTAAAGGAAGACTGGTAAAGTGTAACTATGGTGTTTGCTCCCAGGTATAACCTCTGAAGGTTGTTGAGGTTGGAGAAGATGTTGTCTGGAAGAGAGGCGATTCGGTTCCCATTGAGATATAGCAATTGTAAAGTGGTTGGCATATGTTTGGGGACATCATCCAAAAAATTATCATTGAGTTTGAGATTCGTCAAAGTTTTTAGACCATCAAAAGCTGTATCGGCTACTGATGTTATCCAACTGCTGCTGAGGTCAAGTAGCTGTAAATTTGCCAGATCTGCAAATGCTCTGTCAGGAATGTGTTGAATCTTATTGTTTGCCATGAGTAAGGTGTTAATGGTCGTGTTTCGGAGAAGCTGGAATGTGGCATTGGGTATGAATCCACCTAGAGTCAAGTTAGCGATGTTCAAGGAACGAAGAGGTTTCCCCTGCAGACCAACGAGCGCACTTTCAAGTACTGGAGCAGTTATTGGATTTCTGCCGAGCTTCAGAGACTGAATCATGTGCAACGGGGCAAAAGCGTGACGAGAAATATTGTCGATTTTGTTTCTCGATAGTTCTAACTTGATGACTGTTGTTGTGCTCAAAGCTTCAAAAGTTTCGTTTCCTAGAATACGAATGAAGTTATTGCTAAGACCAATATTCTTCAGCTGAGTTAGGTTCCTGTACTCAGCCGGAAATGTTGCGTTGTTGATACCGTTGGCTTGGATATATAAACTTTGTAGTCCTTGAAGTGTTCCTAGAGGAGGAATTCTTGTCAGTTTGTTACTGTCCAGAATAACGAACGTGATGCTCGTGCATTTGAAAAAAGCGTTCTCATCAATTTCCTTGATGTAGTTGTTTCCAAGGTACACGTGTTCGAGAACTGTTAGGTTGTAAAATGACCACTTTTCCAGAGAAGCAATGACATTATTGTCTAAACGGAGCAGATTTAGATTTGGAGTGTACTGACCGTGAAAGGCGTGCATTTGAAGTTTCATAATCTTGTTGTTTTGGAGATACAGCTCCTTGAGATTTGGAAGAACACCGAAGCGTGAGCTATCGAGTGTATCTATGTAGTTATGGGTCAGATAAAGTTTTTCTACAGTTTTTGGTATGCCAGCTGGTATATCAGTCAGTCGTAGACCCTCACAGTTAACACTGGTAAGCGCTTTATTACAGAAACACTTGGAAGGTAAAACTGCAGGGCAGTATTTATTATAATGAAATCCAGCCGCAAATTCCCACGTGAGAAATGCCAAGCAGATGACAGTCAGACGAATTTCAAGTAGCATCAGAAACTACAACAGAATAACCAAATACTCATCTTAATTATAATATATTATGTAATGAATCGTAACACTTCTGCATGCAGAGTTTTAGCGTATCTACATATAAGTCTATTAGCTCAAAAAGGGTCTTACATGGCCGTGTTTTGGAATTAACAGGTAGGTCGAACTATCCTCTATAATCTCTTGCTTTCTGAAGTGTTCTAATACAGAGGTACTATTGAACGACAAATCCAGGGTAACAGTGGCCGCGTTTGGCATTCTCACCCGATTACAAGGTAAGACTTGTTTTCGTACGACTATAAATCAGGGTAATTTGCCAAATCATTAGGTGCACAGATGATAGAAATACTTTCAAAAGTAACTCATATTTTGATTTTGTATCAAAAATGCTTCTCAAAAACATTTCGTGTTCTAAGTTTTGACCTGACTTTAAGTTGTTTTAAGACACGAATTCTTAGAAACCAAAATCTCATTACAACATATTTTCTTTAATAAAAAAGCAACAAGTTTACTAACAGGAAAAAAAAAAGATAAATCGATGTCAGTTTAATTATATTTATTCATTTATTTTTGAAAAAATAAAAAAATGTATCGGGGTATTGGTCACTCAAGGCTGTATCAAAGGTAATCGTTACATTCAATTTAATTTCCAATAAATTTTATTGTATCGAATGTGCAATATTTTAGGCACAGGCATCGCCATTAAAGTCGTTTCTAGATGGGAAGACATTTTAGTAATTGATATGCATAAATATTATAATCCCAAAAATGGTCCATTAACATTAACATTTCCTTTTTTTCTCCTTTTTTGTTTTGTTTTGTTGTAATATTGATGAAGAGGGAGGGTGTGTGTGTGTGTGTGTGTGTGTGTGTTTAGAAGACCAGTTATCCTATTTTGCTAAAAATATTGGGAAACAACTACATAAATAAGAATATAAAGCTTTACAACATGTTTATTTTATATTTAACCTGTGTTAATTACGCATAAATTAAACTATTTGGAGGGATTGAATTTCCAAACACATCAGTGGATGGCCTTGTGTGATACAATGGACTTTTTGGCCTGTATCTGTTGGATGCGGTTATTTAATCCCATCAAATCTTTATACATGCAGTTCCATAAACAAATTATTTTTCTTTTCTCTTGATAACATTTATATATTCTATATATCTTTTCGGTATTAAAATGAAAGGCTAGAATTTAAACCTTTAGATTCAATGATGATAATGGGATTTAGTAGTTGTTTCTCCCACTGTTTTTTTTGATAATATCAACTTGTTTATATGTGTTTGTATGTGTTTTAATGTCTATGTTTGTACCAATGTTTGTTACTGTGTTAGGAGAGGGTTTAAATAGTATATGCCTGCTGCCAAATCCATTTGTCTTTTGACAATAACATTTAATGAAATTGAACTTTGAATACTATAATACAGATAACGTTAACAGCAAATCCGATTTATATTTATATAAATGGAAGAACATTATAAGTGATTAGCTGAGATAGCAATACAAGTACACAGATATTACTTATTTAAGTGAGCGAAACAGACCGGTTCTAACGTTTGGTTAGATGAACATCAAAGTTAATGTAAAAACAGCAGATTTATATAAATAAAATTGTAAATAGGACAGGAGAGTAAAGGTTAAAATATTCCAAATCATTTCAATATATTCTAGGGCACATTCAGTTCCATTGTTTCAAGGTTATGGATCTTATTATATATATTATACATTGGTTGCTGATTTTGTTAAAGTGAAACCATAAACCATATAAGCAAGCAAAACAAGAGTAAATAAGGATGAATGCAAGGATGGAAGAAAGGGTAAAGCTGGGTGGAGAAGATGTGGACACTTTCACATATTTAGGAGGGATATTCAAAAGAAAGGGAACTGTAATGAAATTAAATAACTCAAACATTTTCTCTAAAAAGACAACATAATGAGCATTCAACACCCTGGTCATATCAGTTTAATTTTATGGATGTGAAACTTTGAAATTACGAAGGAGACAAGCAGAAAATAGACATCTTCCATAATACATGCTAACTATTATTAATAACGATTCGGTAGTCAGACAAGGTATCAGAGGACAGACACAGTCAAAACGAGATAGACTGGAACGAAAAGAAAAAGGTGGACATAGATTGGCCATATATAAAGGATGGATAACGAAGGGATCTGTGCAACATCACTGCCATAGTAACTTGAAGCAGAAAATGTGTATAAAGACCAAAAACAACAAAGATAGGTTTGGATGGAGAGATTAGGGTGAAGGGAGGACGATGGCAAAAGGCAGGATGAAATGGAAAAGTTGTATCAAGGCCTTATGTACCAAAAGAGGATAGGTTATATCATTTAACATTACGAGGCTATCAAACTCAACCCTGGAGAAATTGTTTCTTTATCTCTCTTAATATGATCAATAAAACAATTAAATCACTTGTGTGACCAACTTTGAAGTGTAATATCTAGCATCTAGTGTAACAATGTGAACGGAGAATAAAAAGTGCCACAAGACCAACCATAGTGCGATTTGAAGCTACCAAAAGGTTGCATTTAAAAAAAAAAAATATGGCATAATAAATTTCACATTTTGTTTTTTAATTATAAACTTTTTTTTGAAAACTATACATTATATTGAATAAAACTGATTACCAATATTACTTCTCTCCTTGGCAGTGAACTATGCTATTCAGTATTAGTATAAAACCTTGAGCAACCAACAATCAACCAGTGACAAAATGAAAACGAGTTGTTTCCCCTATGCCAGTTGACGAAGATCACATCTAGTTAATGTTCACACATGATCCTCTTCACACATTTAAAATTTAAAATTGAACAATATGCCGATTCACGCAACATGAATTTTAAAATTAACACAAGCAGATGATCAAGAGCTTATTAATGTATTTATACAAGTGAACAAGTTTTAGTAAAAATATCCTTTTTGTTGAAATATCTTCAATCAGGGATTAAGTCAGGAGGGCCAGAACCTCCTGAGATAAGTTTTCAAAACACAACAAGAGAATGCCGAAGTGTCAACAAAAGCATAATGAGAGGTGGACACATTTGTCAATAACGCCATTTTCAGTAAATGGTATATGCGCATACTTTTGAAGCTTTGTTTTTGATATTTCAAAAGTCGTTAATTTGGACTTCAAAATACTTCCAAATCAGCCATGCTGGCAAGATTTGAAGGTTTTTTGTATGTGAAAGCAACCTTGGTTTCATATGTGAATTAAATACGGATATGTATTTGTTTTACAAATATGTCGTAATCTAACTTTATTTACGGAATAAGCTTATATTATTTTCTATATTTGAAAAGGTAACTTAAGCCAAAATATTCAGCTCATTTTTCTTATTCGTATATGGTGAATCTATATATTTAGATTTTGTTTGTCCTTCCATACTTTTGATTTCCTATACTCAGTGTTACAACAGATGTAGATAACACTTTAAAATATATATATATATATATATTCCTGATCCTGAACGAGTGAAAAAAAATATCTTTTTCTCCAATGTTGATTTTAATAGACTTGTTTTCTATTAAAATATTAATCCTTTTCATTGTAAAAAAAATTATTAAAATTCTGTAAAAGTGTGGCCAATTTGTTTGGGGTAGGGATGGGGGTTGAGGGGAGGGGGTGTTTAGGATGATTGGACTATTTATCGAAAGTTCTCTATGCATGATATTGTTTTCTTTGGTTGGAGACATTAGGTCATACTCCATAAACCGAAGAATTATAATATAGTTGAGATTTGAAACATTCCAGTATGAAGAGTTTGCACAGGAATATAATTGTTTCCCTATTTCGATCGTTTCTTCCCGGGGTCTGCTATTCTTCTCTCTATATTATCATTCAATATACATGATTAGCCATTATTCTAATGTAAGTATATAACTCTATGATGACGTTAGAACGAGTAAAAGTATGGATGCATTGGCAATTTTTGCTCAATACCATTACTATTTATGACAAGAAAACATGTTCAAATACACACGATCGTTGTAGATCATGCAAGAGATAATCAAAGAGGTAAAATTCGACATATTGAGACAGAAATATTAACAAAAGTTCGGGATCAGTTGATAGGCTATTAGGTAGTATAGACAGTAACCCGGGTTTCCTCTAGACCTGACACCAGACATTTTGACAAGGCCATATGAATCTTTGGCTTTTGCCCCAACACCAGACATTTATCTGCCAAAATATCTTAAGTCAGGTGTCAGGGCCAGATGAATCTAAATCGGTTGTCAGGGCCAGAGGAATCAAATTCTGGTGTCAGGGAAAGAGGATTCAAAGTATCGTGTCAGGACCAGAGGAAAGTCTGGCTATATAGTTAGGTGGTTCAGAACAACGTTACACGGCATCAAAACCACCCTTTCTGGCCAGCGTGCCTTGTTTTCCACTGTCATAGACAATTTTTACATTTTAAACACCGTTCCGGAACAGTTATGTTCGTGTGAAATAGTTTCCTATCACGCTAGTCATTAAAGCTGAAATAATATACAATGGAAATTATGAATAGGAATTTACTTTTTATACACTGACCGACCTCCGTTCGTATACATATACAACGGATCGTGACCAACATCTGATTTTCAACCTTGTGTGATCAATACCTTTTTATGATATTTTCCGTAAAAATACATAATTGTTTTATTATATACCTCATAAGTAAAACTGGAATAACACTTACGATTTTTTGATTGGATTATTTGGGTGCTTGATTTTTTGCTATATTTAATTACAGCACGGGTTTGAATACAATATATTATTATGTTAAAAGCCAGTCAATTATATAATAGACTTTCAAATATTTGTTTATCAAATAAACTCTTTATTATGCAAAAAGGTGGGGGATTACCTTTACAGCTATATTTAAAAAGCATTATTTACAAGAAAACTGGTCTACATGAGGACTGATCACATTTGTAAGGTCCAGCAATAATGGGATTGTGAGAAAAATGTATGTAATTATGATAACATTTTTATACCATTTAAGTAGCTACACACTTTTGCAAGAACACATATGGTATGGAGATGTACGTGCTTCTCCTAGACTGAATGTCACAAAAACATTCTAAAACTGCAAAAAATATTCACCGTTGAGCGTACGTGTGGCCATATCCTCGTTCATGAATATGAAAACATCGAACTGTTTGAGAAAGATGAATTATAAATAACTTTCGGATGCGAACTAGATTTACACAATCGTAAAAAGAAAATCATACACCTCAACCCTGTGAAAATTGCTGCCAAACACAGCACATTTGGCAACCAGGGTAATCCTTTACTTAACCACGCATTCTACAAATCGGGTTATCATTCTTTCTCTCTGAATTTTAAAGTATATTTTTTTGTGTAGGTAGAATCCTATGCATTTTAATGCTACTATCGAGAATGTGTTGATAATGTCAAACGTACGTGTTATAAACGTGCTGAGCACACACGTCACCACAGCGTAGCAAGGGTGGACTGTTGTGGTGATTTGTTTGTGTTTATATCCCATGTAAAGGATTAACCAACGTGCTTAAATCACCTTCTAACAGAAAAATGCAGCTATTGTTACTAAATAATGATCATTAACAACTGGAATATTACCAGTTTATACATAAATGTTCGTTATAACACATCTCGAGAAGCTGGACCAGCTTACATCGACACTACATGAAAACATGTCGGTATACATGTGTAACGCACCAGTAGTGCAGCCGACAACAGCATAGACACACACTTACCTCCATGGTTTGTCTGTCGTCTGGTCACACGCAAACTCTGTTCCCGAATACCACTCAGAAGGCTGTCGGGACGCTAGGACCCATTTTCGTAGGGGATTCCCGGGCCGTTGTATCCTTCGGATTTCTCAATGAATCATAAACTCGACAAAAATAGCCCACTCTGAATGACAGTGTTATTATCTGGCAACCTGCCCTAGTTACCTAAGAAGTTTGTTTTCTGAAAGCGTGATTCTCGGAAAATCCCTACTTTCGATTTCATTTTAAAGTGTAATCAATACACTTCTGTGGTATTTCCAGTAGTCTGTTACTTGTTGTGGTGCGGCTGAAAGAATTCGAACTTGAAAATGTTATTGTACTCGGGATCTGGACTAGAATATGTTTGGGCATACATTTTTTCGGACAGTTTGAGAGGCAGCTACAGAAATCCATCATTGCCAACCCTATTTTCCGAAGAAGATTCCTTTGCAACACATAAACAAGTTGCAACGCTTCCATATCGGAATGTCTTCAGCCAATGTCGGATATCCACGACTGATTTGGCCTCGCTATGAGTGTGTAGCGAAGTGAAATCAGCCGGTGGTCTAAGCCTACAGCATTCAAAGCGAATTTAACAACATATAAATATGTACATTTATTGTAAGTTTAACAATAGGCTAGGACATAAGGATGCTGTTCTTTTATGTTTCAGATTTGTCACTGCACTAAGATATTGACATAGAGGTATATAAAACGAAAGTAAAATATGTCGTATTTCTCCAATTACCATTACGGAAAGCAAACAGATCCTTTTGTCTGTTTCAAAGGAATCTCAAACCTATTAGCCCTGGTTTTGTATGTGCACGTCTGCTTAAAGGCATTATAGACTTAACACATGTATTGTGTATTGTATTTATGTCTCTCTCAATTCCAGGAGCAAACATTATTGAAACTCAAGAGAAAAAACAATTTGACAATAGACGAGTGATTTTTTTTAACGATTTGTTGTTTACAAAATTATAAAGTTTTATTGTTAATGCTCTTTTGTTAAATATATATATATTTATATAAATTATAATGAATTCAAACTTTTGTCAAAATTTGTACTGCATAAATGTAAAAACAATATTGTAATATTTGAGCATAAACGACTTACTTCCGGTCTGTGAGTGAGAACACTTACATAATCGTTTGTACAAGTGTGCGTCTATACCGGAATGAATACCGGAAGAGAAGGGGAAGGATGTTATACTTTAGATGATTTAATCATTCTTTTATAAAATCTGAGAATTGAAGAGAATTATACTTAACGCTTATTATCCCTCTTCTAAAGTTATTTTACTTCACCACTGTAAAATGTCGTTATCCCACTTCTACAGTTATTTGTAATTTACTCTACTAAACTACTAACATAATCACATAATTTGTAGACATAATGTCCCCATATCAACATATTAATTTTTATGTTAATACTAATTATCTTGTTAATAAAATACATAACACAACTAGTTTCAATAACATATACACATAGCTATTGTCATTTAGAGGTTTCAGTATTTGTGTTGGTTGATGACGTCTTTTCTTGTGTGTTGTGTCAATTCTGTTTATATTGTTTCTTTTTGTATTTAACTTGTGTTGAAATTGTATCTGTGTGTAGTTTTACTTTATACACAATATACCTATTCAACGTATCGCAACGTTTCAAGATCGACTGGTCCCTTTGTTTAGCTATGTCACTCGACCAGGGACGTTTCGCCTATCGATAAAGAGCGTTTACACACTGAATCGAACAGCTCACTCAGTTATAGCTTGGCAAAGGGATCAGTCAGTTTAATATCGTAAAATAATCAAATTTCTTTAGAGCAAGGCTGTACTCACAATCAAGATAAAATAGAAATACTTAATATCACTTTTTAAAACCTGCTGACCTCTTTCCAGTAGTGGTAGGGTTCAGAATATACATACTTAATATTTTTCTTAAATTAACCAGACTTTCTCTAGTGTTTTTAATTCATGTTATTTAAGTATCTTCTGTTACAACAGTACTTAAGACAAAAATGGATATGTTTGGCCCTATCCTAACCGTTTGACCCTATCCTAACCGTTTGGCACTATCCTAACCGTCTGGCCCTATCCTAACCATTTGGCCTTATCCCAACCGTTTGGCCCTATCCTAACCGTTTGGCCCTATCCTAACCGTTTGGCCCTATCGTAACCGATGAGTCATTGAAGACGATGCAGCTCTATGGCAGCGTATTTCCTTTTTATCATACTATTAATAGACCTTTCTCACTTCGGGGTAGACCTAGCACGGAGCTGGAGACAAGAGACCTAGGCAAGCAAATACAAGGGACATTTCAAAAATGATTTGATATGGAACGTAGCGTATGGAACGTAGCGTATAGGGTATGTCAGAGTGTGTAGACGCACATGTATGTGATTACGGGTAAGCGAACAGGTAAATTATGTAACCGGTAACCACAGTCGTTATAGTCTTTTTCGTGGCTCAATGCGGCAGGTATGTAACCGTGTTAATTGATATTTCAATATCTCGTTTAAGGATCTCACCCGGGACGTCTGTTGGTTTTTTCAGACGCCGATTGAGTTAAAAGAAATCCCCGAGCCAAAAAAATCAGTTGGAAGAAGTTTGAATTTACATTTGTAGACTAAATTTACCATCCACAAACTTTCTAGGACACGAGATTTCCATATTACGAAAGAAATATTTAACGCTTACACGGTGTCTTTTTGTAATAGCTTTAAGCTGAAGGTATTTGTTCCACACAATTTCGTCTCTTCGTTCCTTTGCTTTTTTGTATAGAGGTAGTTGGACATAAGGACGCTTATTAGCATCCCTTTGTGGCAAAGTGATACTACTGCGATCAACTCTAACATGCACCGAGTCTTTGTGTTCAGTATAAACCGTAATTTAAAACAATTTTATTTTTGAAAAAAAAAACCCCAATAGGGTGAGATCAGCCAAGAGAAGTTTATCAGTTGTACATATAATTAAAACCAGGGGATGTAACTGTTGGCAAGGAACACTAAAAATCGTTCTCTAGTGTTTTGTCACAAGCAGGGGACAGGAATCCTTAATACAGATATAATGAAAAATAATTTTGAGATGTTCCATGATTTTCCGTCTCTGGCTCCTTGGTAGGTCTGCCCCAAAATGAGAAATGTCTAATAATACCAACATTTATACATGCAAGCATATGTTCGTTCTACGTAATGTCGTAATGTTATAAAATGTAAATTAGGTCAGTGCAAACAAACCTAATTTGTTCCATGAATGAAAACACTTACATATTAAGAGTTCGTACAAGTCTGCGTCTATACCGGAAAAGGATGACTGATATAAAGGAAATTGTATGATTCAGATGTTTTAATGTTTATTTATTGAATCTCAGAATAGTTGAGAATTGATATAGACATCTTACAGTTTATACAAGAGTACTACGTTGTCACCGAAATTGTAAAATTTAAATGCTCTGTTACTGACAACAGAATAATAATGTGAATACTAATGTTAATATTACAGTAGCTATCCCAATAATATCAAACACAAGCCCATTATTTTCATTTGACATATAATGTGATATACTCCTTCCGAGATTCAAGTATTTAGTGTTAACAGTTTTTGTCTTGCTTGATTAAGTCTGTTCTCTTCAGTTCCTCTCGTTGGTTTTTTGTAAAGACTCTGGATTAGAATGTTACCATTATGTAGACAGTATTAGGAAGTCTCCTGGTATGGAGGAACTGCTGCTAGGTTTCGCTATGCATGGCTGCGAGTCGGCGGATTGTCATGCAGCTGTTTCCAAGTAAGTAATGACATTTCAGTAGGATGACAGTATACAATGGTACTAAATGGATACCGTCCCCATCCGACCTGAGCTGTTGTGAGGACGAAAAACCAATAGACAAACCTCGGCGTCATATTTCCCTGCTTTTGAATATTTCGATGTATGGTTATTTGTTTAATCTGATGACGATTTAGATAGATATGTTGTTCTGTAGCCCTGGGTTTGTATTTTTATTATAATAGTATGCTACCCACCATTTGTTATAACTATGGGAAGGGATAAGTGTAAAGATTTCTTTTCTCATTTGGGGCTGATTTTACGAGGTTTCATAAAACGGGAAATCCATAAAATACTTTTGAATATTAGCAGAAATAATCAAAATAGAATTGCATATTTGGTAAATGTTATGAAACCAGATTATCTTTGAATTGGGTTTAATATCTTAATATAGAAAAGAGGACAACAACTAATGTTTGATATGACATTTTTATTATTATTCTTAATTCGATTTCCTTTTTCTGAAATACTGTTGTCTGAAATAAAACAAACTTTTATTTATCAATACGCAATTTGCCTTTTCCGAGACGAGTAAGTTGATCTTCAAGATTGTATAATATTTATTATTTTACGAGCTTCTAGATCCGCTTTTATTAGAAATCTTTTCCTTTACTTTGCCACAAAGGCATGATAAACATAAGAGTTATTTCCCTTTACTAAACTATCTAGTCGTACTCGGTAATATTTTCTGTATTGAAATAATAACACCTCATTCTACTTTTAAGCCATGTCCACCACAACACATGTACAAAGTCATTGATGAAGCTTACATAGTTGTGTATGCATGCAATACTGATACCGGTGCTTTTCGGGAACATGCTGTTCTCAATATAACAAAGGATACAGGTGGATTCTTATACATGAGTTTATTTTATTTAATATTATTTTTGCTGAACTAACATCTCAACGCCATTTTAATATGTGGAATCCAAAAGATTTTAAAACAAAGAAAACGTATAGCATACAAATGAAAGAATATCACTTAAGTCGCTCGCCCTTCGTACTGATTTGTTTTCTACTCCAATTTATTGTCTAGAGTTAAAGAATTGCATTGTTTGAAGATAATCACATTATGCTGCCGTTTTTGGCCTCCTCAGCCTTATCGACTTTGCTTTCTTTCGATTTAATTTTGCTATGTTCTTATCTGTGTCAGTTAAGGAGTCGCGCCTTTGTGAAGAGAAGCTTTTGCCCGGATGTGCAGCGTTCCTACTGCGTGGTCTTTGTACCCGAGCAGTGCTGGGTCGACATGACTGATAAGGGTCCATCCCAAGCTTTTCAAAGTCCCTGATGACCTCGGAGTTGATGGCCATATCCGGCCCTATATGCCTCATATCTTTGGGTTTGGAGCTGGCAATCCCTCTAGAGTAGGTGATGTTCCCAGACTTTGGGCGACCTAACACGAGGTTGTTAGCGTTTATAAGTTTGCCGTTATGCCTGCTCTGACACGACTTGCACCGTGACGTTAATGTTTTCGGACCAGATGGAGGTTTGTCATCGTCGACGTTGCGAATCTGACGCATGCGTTGTTCATATTTATTATCTTTACAATTCCCTACACAAAACGGTTGCCTACACATATCACATATTTCCGATTGCACGAATTTCTCGGGGCAGTCACCAGTGCAAGCTGGCTGTAAGCACCTATTGCAACAACGCTTGTCCTTCTGTCCTCCTTTAGCACTGGCGACACGTTGTCGTTTTTTGAGTAGTTGAACGGACCGTTTCTGTTCCCAGTCCTCCGTTTCCATCTGAAGCCTCTCCAGCTCCACCATTCGATCCATGATGTCCTCTGTAACGCCATCATTTGGTCGCTCTTTCGTCTGATCACGCCAGCTCCACTTGAGCCTTGCTATCTGCCTGAAGTCAAGATCTCTGAACGATTCTGGTAACACTTCCTCGAACTCATATGGCGGAATATCTGTTTCGTCAACATCGAAATCAAATTTTCTCCAACCTTTAGCGGAATCTGGGATCACAAAGGAATCCAGTTTTTCTGGTCTAAGATTGAGATCAGGAACGTCCCTGTTACGGTCTACACTTGGTTCGTAATCGCTGTCCTCGTCAGAGCTGCTACTGCTACTGCTGATATCCTCGGCGGAGTGCGTACTGTCTATCCCACTTGTACTAACATCATCATCCTTGGGAGGTGATGTCGACTTTCTGTTCTTGTCCTCTAAGGGTTCCTCTCCGGAGGGACCGGGATCCCCGTATCTAGGGGCAGTTTTGTAGGAGTTGCTACTGATGAGGTTAGCCAACACGTTCGGGGTGAGGGTATCGAAGTTTCCAGGACGGACATCAGTGGGCGTGTCTGAGCGTCTGATCAAACCACTAGGAGGCCGGCTTGTACCGTTGGGGACTGACCTTGGCCGACATAGCCGCGAAGGGGAAGGGCCTCGGGAGACTATTGGTCTGTAAATGATACAAACAATTCAATTATACACTGAATAAAATAGAGCAGAAAGAAATATTAACCTACAGTGATACACATTAGAATAGACAAACTTATCGCACATTATTTTTACGACAAAAAGTAAATGAATACATTTAAACTGGAACTTTAATTACCATGTATTTAGCTATTTTGCAGTTTGTGAACTAATGATGTGAGTATATGAAGATAAACCTTGAATTAAATAAGAAAAATACAAATATAACTATATGATATCAATAGCAATTTCTTTTCAAAATATCAGAAGAGATTTCGTTCCATTTTACCTTTGAATGTACTATAAACATATCTGACTGTACAACAAAGCATTATCGACCACTTTAAAATACGTTCGACTGAATTAAGTATTTTCTACTGCTGTGTATATATTCAACTGAACAACATAGCATTTTCAACCACTTTAAGAAATACCCGACTGAACTACTAAGCATTTTCGGCCACTATAGAATACGATTGAATGTTTGATAGTACTACAAAACCGTTTTGACGGTAGTGCAAAATATGTGTAAATGTACCACAAAGCATGTTTCGCGTACGCTAAAACATGTGTAAATGTACCACAAAGCATGTTTCGCGTACGCTAAAACATGTGTAAATGTACCACAAAGCATGTCGCGTACGCTAAAACATGATTTGACGGTATTACAAAACATATTTCACGTGCTATTAAAAATGTTTGACGGTATTACAATGCATTGTTCACGTCCAATCAAACATGTTTGACGGTATTACAAAGCATTGTTCCCGTCCAATCAGATATGTTTGACGGTATTACAAAGCATTGTTCACGTCCAATCAAATATGTTTGACGGTATTACAATGCATTGTTCACGTCCAACTAAACATGTTTGACGGTATTACAATGCATTGTTCACGTCCAATCAAACATGTTTGACGGTATTACAAAGCATTGTTCACGTCCAATCAAACATGTTTGACGGTATTACAAAACATGTTTCACGTTTTATCAAACACGTTTGAAGATATCAAACTGAACTTCAAAGCATGTTTGATGGTACTTCAAAACAATACAAAATCACTTCAACACAAAATCAACCATTATTACACGCTTACTTTTAAATTAAAAATGACAGTCAATGTAAAGGGTCTGGTACCCAAAGGCCTGTCGAATAGAACAATTATGTCGTGTATCCGGACTGTAAGTATATATAAGTAAGGTGTCATTCCTTTCATACACCTTACATTAAAAACACCAATTGATTTTACTGGCAATTCAATTATATGAAGCTTATATATCCTGCTGTGAGTCCCTACAATTGTTTTTTTTTTTCAATTATCAGTTTCCGGCCTCGGTAGATTGTACGCCATACACAGCAGCTTTGATTCCTGTATGGGTCGGATGTTGTATGTAAGAACGTGTTATATTTGATACGTTACGTGAAGCACTAAGATAATTACACCGATCAATCACGAACACAGATTGGCGTGCCTGGTCGACCAGAGTTATGTAACGATCCATGGACGGTCTAAAACAATCAATAATTGGTACTGTTACACAGAATACGTATACAGGAGTCAATGTGAATATATATGTTCACATATTTTTGTGTTCTGTTGCACCTCTATTAAATTATACATTATAGTACAGGTTTGCCTGTTAGTAGTTATCGATTTTGGTAGAAAGACATTATTTCAAATCTAATACTTTAATAATAATTTATTTTTGCTTGAAACAAACAATATCAATTACTAAAAATGCTATTCAACCAGGCTACTCAAACAATTGCATCAATAATCGGAACACAAATATTGATTTTCCACAACGCCCTCGGGTTAGGCTACACGCGCAGGACACGGTTCTTAGAGTAGGATGTACGCACATGACACGTGTCTTTATTCAGTACAATATTATTTTGGTTATGCAGACGATGAGTATTGTTGAGGAGCACTTCGGACAAGATTATCTAAGTACAGGTCCAGGCACAAAATGTTATTACAATATGATGTCAGTCTCTACTCGTCTGATGTCTGGGGTCACAATTTAATGTACACACATCCATTATTATATTTCACGCCAGTTACTCCTGTTAGATACTAAAATATACATGTATTTATCACGCGTATCTATAGTGTATGATGTAGAACTAGTAAAAATAGGGTGTAACCCAGCTAAGTGAGAGACATGAATATTAATAACATTTTAAACCAAGGAGATATCAAGACCGGGAAACTAGATAAATATCTCAATAATAACAGCATTTTCTAACCACTTAGGATATGAACGAGACTATTTCCGGGGTATAACGACCATCAATTGCAGATCTATACATTTTATGTTAGTAAATTATGAATATGGCAAGGCAAGGTTTTGTTAAATACATATATAAATGAATAATAGTAATGTAAAGATGTTCGACCCTCCAAACGACCACAATGAATGAGCCGCTCACACACGACATTATGATAATAAAATGACCACACTTTAAGAACTAATTACAAAACCAGGCAGTAAAAATACCTTAAACTACTTCGTTAGAATGCACATCAACCATAACATGAATAATATCAACCAGAGAAAAGGAAATTTCTCTCGAATAATTTATTTGTTAATTTCCGCAACCAAATTACATGATTACATTGCCAACCAACTGCGCATTAGGATATGAAAACCTTTCACTTAATTAGAATCTGGACTACCACTTGTAACACAAGCTATATACGTGTACACTTCTCACCTGGTGATAAATGCAAGCTCTACTGGGTGTCTTCGTTCAGTTTCCCTGTCATACGACCAACGCGATACTTATTAATAAGCCATCAGGTACATCATACAGGTATATCTGTCTTGTTTACTACCTTACTATGTTATGAAATTGACAGAACAGGAAAAGTGGGGTTTTATAAACATAAATCAAATAATGAACGTGTGACATAGGAACTAAAGTGTTCTACCGAACGTGTAATTTTCAGCAACATTTCCACTTTAATTTCCGAATTGATGACGACAGTGTGGAAATAAAACTTGATATTAAAACGGGTTATGTTTAATATAAACAGATGTATACGCTAGGATTCAACTACAACAAACTACCTAATTTGTAAGAGGATAAAATTTACACCAACTGTAATTTTGTCGCATAATTGGCTGTAGCATGTGTGAACCAATTAAGAAATAGATATTGTTTAAATTCAAACGCTTTCTTTGCAAATATCACATTGATAAGCAAGAATACGCCAATATTTCAAAGTATACAGTTTTGTTCTAAACAAATTCATACAACTAAAAGCAACAATTTATATATATTTGTGTCAGACAAACTGAAGTTGACCCATCAGCCTATGCTACACGATTACAAGGTCGTTCATGGTTTGTCCTGTAAGAACGTAAGAATGTTTATACTCTACCAAACAGTGTGATAATGTATAGTCCTGGTATTCTACGTAGCACTGTGATATGTTTTCTAAAACGGTAACCTGTTGAATGTTGAATAATGATGTTCTTCACAGCAATAAAATTTGAACCATGATATTCTAAACAGCACTTTCACCTGGTGGATGGTGATTAATACAAAGTTATGTCTCTTTGGTTAAATAGTGTTGTTGTACGCTAGCTTACATCAAGGGTTTATGATAGACACTAATATATATATATATATATATATAAACTAAAAAAAGGGGGGATTTAGACTTCGCGTATCTTTAAACTAATATAGAATGATAAACTGGGTATATATTATTATATTTGTAAAACAAGACTTTACCTTTGCCAAAGATGATATGTATAATATTCTGTTGGTCTTTCCAATATATAACCAAACCTAATATAGCGACTCACCTGTCCGGTGCTTGGCAGCTGACGGGTTTACACCTGAAGAACGAGGTATCGGTGTCCGAGGACTTGAGAGGGGTCCAGTCTTTTGGCTTAAACGCTCTTAGACTGGCGGCCAGCTGGCTGCGGTAGATATTGGTGTTTGTTTCGGCGTACTGCTGTTGTTGTTGCTGTTGCGCTAACTGGTTCTGAATGCTCTGGATCTGCTGCTGTTGGTGGTACAGCTTCTGAAATGGATCAAGGGCGAACACGTTGTCATGACCTATCTTTTTAATGAGAAGGAACGATCTATTAATGGTGCAAGTACATGCAATATGCAACACAAACCGGTAATTACGCAAGGCGATGATAGGTCCTTTTGGAAATAACTGTCACTAAAACACTGTCACTTTGACCAGATGTTTAATAATTAACGGTGAAAAGTCCGACACGGCATATAAAACACCACTGAAACAGATTGTTTAAGCCCGCACTTGAAAGTGATAATCTGCGATACCAAAAACCGAAATGATTCAATACAAATGTAAACAGCTATGATTAGCTAAAATCCATTTTGTTGCTCACGTGTTCTCTCCTTCCATTTGTAAACCAATTGTACAAATCCAAATTATTATCCTATCTAGTTCAGGCCGACTTTCAAAAGACAAACATGGTGTGTTGTGTTACAGCTTCATGAAGCTATACACACCTTGACCACATTCAATACTACAGGTAAAAATCACAGGTAAATCACAAGCTCAACCACTCAGTCCAGATTTACTGATCTTCTTGTTTCCATAGAAATGAAGCACGACGCAATATGTCCGTTGCTAGGCGAGGCGTACGGACAGAGCAAAGTCATTACTAAATGATTAATTGCAACGAAGCAATCTGTATGTATATATATAAACGCTACATATCGATACATGCTATGGGTCACTTGATCTTGTTCGAGCGCATCAATTATTGTATTTTAAATTACAGGAAGTGCTTGATAAATCGATGTCTAATCCCTTTGTTACGGAGGAGGATAGTAAATCGGTTGTAATTAGTTGCTAGGAGATCAGGATTCGTGCCAGACAATAAATTGAACAAATTGAAGACATTTATAGAGATCCTCCTCTGGGAAATGTTTAATTATAACTAATGATTAAATAATAAAGTCATAAAGTTATGATCGCAGTACCGTATTGATTGTTTTGACATGTAGTCTGATTGTTTAGAATGTACAGGTATTCTACAAAAATAGGAAACTATCAACTGTCAGCAGTATTATAAAACAGTGTCCCTAATTGATCGCGTATCCTCCATTAACGTTGTAACGGATGTTTGTGAACTTTAAAATGTCAAATAAGTGCTTCATACCTCTGCCTCCTAAATGTCAGAAATATGGCTAAATGTAAATATGACACTAATGAAACCATGGCTATTGGTTTAGATCAATTAAAAGTAGTGTTAGCAAAACAATACCAAATAATAGCAAGGAAACATTGAATATACCACAAATAACAGCAGTAAAACATTGAATTTACCACATATAAACAGCGGCTAACATTGAATATACCACAAATAACAGCGGCTAACATTGAATATACCACAAATAGCAGCGGCTAACATCGAATATACCACAAATAACAGCGGCTAACGTTGAATATACCACAAATAACAGCGGCAAACATTGAATATACCACAAATAACAGCAGCTAACATTGAATATACCACAAATAGCAGCGGCTATCATTGAATATACCACAAATAACAGCGGATAACATTGAATATACCACAAATAGCAGCGGCTAGCATTGAATATACCACAAATAACAGCGGATAACATTGAATATACCACAAATAGCAGCGGCTAGCATTGAATATACCACAAATAACAGCGGATAACATTGAATATACCACAAATAGCAGCGGCTATCATTGAATATACCACAAATAACAGCGGCAAACATTGAATATACCACAAATAACCGAGGCTAACATTGAATATACCACAAATAGAAGCGGCTAACATTGAATATACCACAAAAAGCAGCGGCTCACATTGAATATACCACAAATAACAGCGGATAACATTGAATATACCACAAATAGCAGAGGCTAACATTGAATATACCACAAATAGAAGCGGCTAACATTGAATATACCACAAAAAGCAGCGGCTCACATTGAATATACCACAAATAACAGCGGATAACATTGAATATACCACAAATAACAGCAGCAAAACATTGAATATACCACAAATAACAACGGCTAACATTGAATATACCACAAATAGCAGCGGCTAGCATTGAATATACCACAAATAACAGCGGATAACATTGAATATACCACAAATAACAGCAGCAAAACATTGAATATACCACAAATAACAACGGCTAACAATGAATATACCACATATAACAACAGTAAAACATTGAATATACCACGAATAACAGCGGCTAACATTGAATATACCACAAATAACAGCGGCTACTATTGAATATACCACAAATAATAGCGGCTAACATTGAATATACCACAAATAACAGCGGCTAACATTGAATATACCACAAATAACAGCAGTAAAATATTGAATATACCACAAATAACAGCAGTAAAATATTGAATATACCACAAATAACAGCAGTAAAATATTGAATATACCACAAATAACAGCAGTTAATCATTGAATATACCACACATAACAGCGGGGAACACTGAAGATACCACAAATATATGTATGTTAGTACTCAATATCGGTCTAGATGTATATAAGAGTAGGTTATACCGATGTTCTTATCCAGTTGTTCACGTTAAATCTTAATCTTTTATTAATTCTGGAAATTTGGCTTTCGGGAACGAGTCAATATTACAGATATTTGACTGCACTGTTTCGATTTGAAGGTTGTTTAGACAGTAACGTGATTGTACGGTTATATTTTATTTCTTGAGGAGATGTGTTAACCTTGAATGTTTAGTCTAGCCAGGCTGATATCAAGCGGTCATTTCCGGAGACCTAAGATAAATTGCTAACTTAATCACCTGGGTCTTTATCGTTAAAACATCTTTATCTATCAGCACTGTTGACAGACTGTTTAAAGTCTAAGGGTTTCGTCTAGATACCTAACAAAATTGTCATTGCCGCAGCTGTAGTAACAGAGACTTGCTCGAACAGAGGTACAAACTAGGACCAAAACTAACTATAATAGAGCTGAACTTGAGGTAAGTTAAGCAGCAGTATTTCTATACGTGCCAAAGCGATAATTAGTGTGTGGTAGTGTGTGCTATAATGATGTGTAATCAAATCGTTAGAAAATCCTGATTTACTGTACATTTCGATGTATATGTTATCAGCATGATCCGTTAATTGTGTGGATAACGTTTCAAACGAAATTGGTTAATATACATTGCGTATCAAATTAAATTGTCATGTCTGGTAAACGTTATTTAAATAGATCGAACTTGATCCCATCATAGAAATGAATCCATTGTAAAATTACGTACGATTACGTTCTGATATCCCTATTATATATATTGGTCTACCAGTAGCAGTTGGGCACAGAAGTAGAAACTTGGATATATATATGCACAAAATGATATTTAATATGTATGTATACACGTACATCGTAAAGTGTAATATATATATATATATATATATGTTTGTTAAGCTTAGCAACAAGGTATTTGAAGTGTTTTCTCATTAAATATAAAATTTCTAACAAAATTCTTTAACTTATTGGATATATAATTATATATAGACATTTAATTGTAAATACTTATGAATCTGCTCATTTTTTAGTTAATGATAAACTCAGGATGTCGTATCAGTTAATTGTTTTTCAAGCTGAAGAAGCTTCGATTAAATTCTTGCATGTATATTCTCTACCTACGCTGTCCTGGAAACAGTTCCCATGTCTGGTTAACTTTGTAACACACATACCTTTGCAATGCAGTGCATATCTAGAGTGCAAACTATTCGTAGCCGAATTCACCACAAACTCTTAAAATGATAGCATAGGGATACACCTATCTCTATCAAATTATACATTTCTGGAACATTCAGTAGGAGGAAAAGAAGCTTATACAAACGTTCACATACGACCACTAGCAGTCGGCGAGCATGCCCCAGCGTTAGAGTCAAATTAATGTTTAACTTACATCTCATCTTCAGACGCTGTTCTTGGTGATTTTTCAGAAAATTGATATTTAAGCTTCTTAATAGACGTTAAAAAGTATTTCCACTTTATTGGTAAGTGTCCTAAGTGTTTCCTACTCGTTACATATAAATAAATCCCCCGACATGTTTCAGTATTATATGGAATTTGTTGTAGAAGCAATGTCTGCGATAGCATTTATTTTCACCATGGAAATGTTGAGGTGTTTTAGTTCGAGCTCATTTAATGACCTAAACATTTATCCTACCATAAGTTTGCTGCTCTGACATTTTCCCACAGCAACGTCTAACAGACAGAAGATATGACCGCGATTCTGGGCTATTGGAAACTGGACAAGAACGATGAGCGCTGGGACGAGTACATGAAGACTGTCGGTGAGTATAACACCCAGAGATAGCAGAGGCTATTAAGTAATATGCTATTGTTATTTAGTTAAAAGGAGCAGCTAGAAAGGGATAAAGTTATATTGTCTGTCAAATATCGACACTCATTTACCTGGTTTTCTGGTTTTCAAAAGAAATATAAATATCCAGCAAATCAGTGAAGCATTGTTAATGTCCTATTTCCCCATTTCAGTACATCGGTTTCCGGTTATTCCTTATAATTATAAGTAAATGTTAGCATGTTTCCCATTATAATATCTTATACTTCTCTTTTTGGCATTGTTTCCAATAATAGTTAAATACCATATTTACATTTTCCATCAAAATACCAAATGTTTCCCATTCTTGTACTTTATTCCTAAAAAATAGTAACATGTATTGTTCCATCTAGTACGGTATGTTTCCCATGCTAATGATTTACATTTACATTTATTATAATTCATGTTTCTCATTCAAATACTGTATATCCATCCTTGTACAAACAATACTAACGTATATTTTGCTGAAGTAATTGTTATTTAGTATATAACGTAATATTTTCTTGTTTGAACACATGTTAACATGAACCATTATGACATCAAAACTTTAAAACAGAACTATGACGTAACATTCTTTCATCATGGATTTTTTTTTAAACTCGATTAAATTCGGTATATGATGAAGTTTTTGGAAGATTTATATATATATAATGTATACTATGTATAAATAAACAGCAGAACTAGAATAAATATGTATATATATTTTAAGTAGAACTGTAAGAACGCAAACGATCACGATCGCCAGTACAAATAGACTCTTGTTAATAAAAAAAAGACGTCAGGGCGAAATAAGCTGTAAATCGATATAATATGACTGTGTAGCTACTGGTCTGTATGTACAGGGTAGTGGTGACTCCACTTTAATGATGTACTTTAGAACCCTGTCTTAAGAACTGATAATAACTATACTTAAGATATATACACAGAAGATAAGTGTGTGTATCAATATGGTGTATGATATCTACCACCTTGTTTCCGTCCAACCTGATAACGCATTCTCACCTTACAAGGATGCCTAAGTCCCCGAACTTTTACATGATATATCGTAATTTAATAAAAGGAAATTCCATACCCAGCAGATAGAAAATCACGTTAATAATTCAATCCTATTTTTATACTGATTTAATATAAAGATATAAGTAATTGCATTGAGAAGGTAAAACAAGGAATTCCATGGTCGTATGTGATTGATAAGTCGATTTCCTGTACGAACCATATTAAATATTTCATCACTAGTTTATATTCCTTTCTCGCATTCATAACGCCTTTTGTCTACCTGTGTACACTGTATCAACTGATCTGATTACCATCACACCGGCATCATCATGGTATATGTTAATATCCAATATAATTGTTTTACTACTGTGGCACAGTGCAACAGATCATAAATAATCAAAATGTTGTGTATGTCAAATATAACGTTATAGTCAACGGAATTCAAATTAGTTATGTTTGTAAAGAACGCAACGTTAGCAGAAATCATTTCCTATTGTCTGTACGCCTTCACTTTGTAAAGCTAATATTTTTGTGTCTACTTGTTGTTTAAGAACCAATGAGTGTAGATCTATTTGATCAGCACGTATATGTGAAAAATTAAGTTTCTACACAAAATTTATGTAGCGCCATATATAGGTTAAATGAGGTGATTCTAAGTCGCTCAATATTAAAGGGATGACAGATTTTAGGATCAGCTGACTCAATCGCTTACCGTGAACTCCCCATTGATTATTCAGCGTGCGCATGTGGAGGTTTTATATGTGTTCTGCTTGTTATGTAATCGTATTTCAAACGGCTCACTTATACTGCCACACCGACCAAACAAAAACATATCTTCTTTCGATTTAAGGCAGTTGGACTTGAGCAAAAACGGGTAAAAAGTCTTGCTCAAAGACAGAGGAACTCCTCATCGTCTGCTATCAGTCAATATGGTAGGGTCTGAACAACTGTACTATGCGGTCCAATAAGTTTCGAATATCAAATTGTTTTATTTGTATCCAACAAATCATTAAAGGTTGTTCAGTATAAATGAATCCGTATTACTGTCTGTAAAGCTCTATTCACGTGTAGAGTTTTGAGATAAATTCACTCAAACTTTGCAGGGGTCAACTTCGTGCTCCGAAAGGTGGGAAATTCCATTACAAGCTATGAAGATATAGTACAAAACGGCGAAAACTGGGAAATGCATTTGCTGTCTACATTTAAAAACAACCACCTTAACTTTAAGCTTGGAGAAGAGTTTGATGAAAATACTCCCGATGGAAGAAATTGTAAGGTAAATGTGCCTATTTGTCTTTTATCTTTCTGATATTTTTATTGTTTTTTGTAATCATGAAATAACAATGTTTTTTTCATATTATATTCTTGGCATATGTAAAGAAACACGATTTAGTAGTTTGAAAAATGAACCAATTATTTAGACATATGTACTTGCAAAGAATGTCGAAGTAATTTATAACAAAACAGAACACTAATGTAATAAATAAAATTAAATAGTGCATATATAGATACTGGAGCAAGTAACTACCATATGAGAAAATGAAATCATATTCTTTGAAAAAATATAATACAAAATGCTTTTCTCATCAACGAAATGGTAAACCTAGATAGTATACGAGTAGACATATACATACTATGCACCGTATATGAAAAGCGTCTGCGCGGATAGATAACAATATGTCCTATATATTACCCGTAATATAACGGAGTTGTGCCAGCATGTGATCCTAGCTACAACATGTGTGTACCTGTTTATTATGGTATCATTTATAGAGTGTTTCATGTATTGGTGTTGTAACTATCCTACCAAAATGGGAGGTAAACAGTTACCTACCATGTGTACCGTCGTTACACTCTTACCAAACAGGCAATCATGGCATAAAATAGTTACCTTTAGGGTATTGGTACCACTTTAAATAACTTACCAAACAGGGCGTTAAAACGTTGTAACAACTATCCTAACAAACCGAACGTTTAAAGTTACCTACCATGTGGTTGTATCACCGTATACGACTTACTAATTCGTCCAAAGGTCAACTAGAAACAATGTATTTAGCCCTTTTCACCATTGCATGAAGGGGAAATTTAAGAAACATTACTTCAAAAGATCCATGCAAATAAAGACTGAGAGGGAGAATTCGGCACTGTATAAAATTGCTTTAATTGCCAATGGCCCACATTTTTATCTCAACGAATACCTGCGGTAAAGAGAATGAAGATAAATTCCATAATGGAAGTTTGATATCATATTCTGTATGGCAGTGGTCACACAACTCAATTGTGATTTAATTAAATCAATTTATAAAATGTATGTCAATTTAGGGACATGTCTTTTTTCTGTCAACTCGAGTATGAGTCCCGAACCATCATCGAGAAGATTTCTAGATATAGAAAATACTTGATAGATGAACGTATAGCACATATATGAGATTGCACCTATTAAATTTGGTAATTGATAGTTCTAAACTGTTTTTAAAGCAGAAGGGGAGGGGCATAAAACCTCTTAAAATATATATTTCAAAAACTAAATGAGTACCGGTTAATTTTATATCAATACCAACAAGTACTAGTTGTAATGGGGAACCCATAGTGTTAAGTTTCATTAAGTTCCGTCCAATACTTTTTGAAAAATTTGTCGGAAACTTTTACGGCGGAAGAAGAAGAATAATAATAAGAACAAACCGAGTAAAGTTCCCCACTTCGTTNGGGGGGGGGGCTTAGTAGCAGTGATGAGTACATGTTCATTTAACCAGTCATAAGAAAAAAGAAAAAGTGTGTATGTTATCAGTCCTATCACTGTTCAGAAGAGATCATTGTGATATTGATACTGCCTATATATAAATACAAACAGAATCGAATATTTATAAATATAAACATCAGCATGATGAACAATATGTATAATTTCTATATTACATTCCGTTATTTTTAAACCTTACCTCTACAGTGATCCCACTCTTCGATACCTCAATGTTAAAATTCAATTCGATATAAGATTTCAGGAGCAGACAGCGGTCTTTACTAAGATTCCTTATTTACTAGTCAGACGCTTCGAGTGTCTCTCAGTGTCGAACCAAATATACTTTTACATGAGAAGGCCAATATGATAACAATTTTGAACCTCGTTTGAATGACACTTGACCGTGTTATAAAGAATATTCAAAACATTTCCAATTAATCGAAATAAACCGATAGTAGAGCAAAACAATGAAAGTTGGAATTATATCAAATAAATAATTTAAAGATAAACTTACCAAATACCCGGTTAAGTTTTAACAATACTTGAAAGCGCTTAACTTAATTCTTTCGAGATGCTTGAGATGTTAACAACCATAAGATATATGGTAACTTTTATCACATCAACTGGATCCAACCTACCCTGCTGGGTTCAGACACAGGTAGACAGCTCGGCGTATATATAGAATTGATTGTACTTTTTATGGCCCTTTTATATCTTGCCGACCTGTATTCTACTTAAACAGACCAATTTACACGTAGAACATTTTGACATGCTAGTTCTAGCCTTTCCTCAGTCAATCATGATGGTTTGAAGGTTTCTCTGTTGTGTTGTCCTATTTTTCGCAGCTATATCAGAATATTGTTCGCACATTTTCACCCAATTGAATACGGTTTCATGGTGTCACATCCAGTGTATTTCATCGATTGTAACATGACAACTTGCTTAACACAGTATATAGCGTGGAAGATCAATATTATTGCCAATACAGAGCTGTTAAAGTGTACTGAACCTGCGGACATAGGAACATCAGTTGATAGTTTGTACTTCCAGTGCTAAAGTTCACTTTCAGTGCTAAGGTATACGTCCAGTGTTAAAGTACACGTTCAGTGCTAAAGTACACTTTCAGTGCTAAAGTACACTTTCAGTGCTAAAGTATACTTCCAGTGTAAAAGTACACTTTCAGTGCTAAAGTACACTTTCAGTGCTAAAGTACACTTTCAGTGCTAAAGTACACTTTCAGTGTTAAAGTACACTTTCAGTACTAAAGTACACTTTCAGTGCTAAAGCACACTTTCAGAGCTAAAGTATACTTCCAGTGTTAAAGTACACTTTCAGTGCTAAAGAACACTTTCCGTTCTAACTACATTTTCAGTGCTAAAGCATAATTTAAGAGATAATTGTACGCAACACACTTTCAGTACTAAAATATTCGGAATAGGAAGATATAGTTACATCACATTACCACTAGGTATAGGACTATACGTATTGAAGCACAGGTATATGAATGACATATACCACTTGTGTAACTGAGTACATCGACAAATTTTGAAATGGGGACTGATGTTTCGGCATATGATTAATTAGACATTACGGGCTATACTGATCTCCTCTCGTTTTTAATCCTTTTCCCTCTCTAACGTTATATATTTGATTTGTGTGTGTTTGGATGTTGGTTAATATTTCTAAATGAAGGCAGGGTCAGGACCTCAACGACCCCATCTCTTTGGAGCCGTCCCTTACCCTGTTTATTTTCAGGTTCAATAAGAAGCAAGTTGTCATATATTAACTCATCGTTAATCGAGTGACTTTATATACAATGATGTCAACATATAACAGTAAGAAAGAAAAGCTCTGGTCAGTAGAGCACGATACATTGTTTGACAATATTTTGTACTGTTTCAGTCAACGTTTGTGATAGAAGGGGATTCTCTTGTGCACTACCAGAAAGGAACTAAAGACGGAGATGTCAACTCCAAAATCACGAGGACGAAAGTAGATGAGGATACCATGACAGTGGTACGTTCATTTCCAATATGGCAACATACATGTGTAAATAAACGATAGCATGGTAGGGGGGAAACTATAAATAATGATGCCTGTGGTTTCGGTTGGAATTGAAAATTAAGCCGTTCTTCAGTCTAAACTGACTGAACCAAACCCTTTAACTATATAACCATTATATAATACCAGACCTTCATCTTGATTCGACTGTATATACTTAATTATACGGAAGTCCTAATCGCAACCCAATATCAATTTAGTGGTAAAACAATTTAAATGATTGTTTTGTGAAAAATATGAATATCAATTATGTCAACACATAATTAGATTAATAAACTAATCTTATATTAAACTGAAGCTAAATTTCTTGTTTGATATTAGAGTAACAAAAAGCACACTTTATATTACAAGTTTATTACAAAGGTGTTTATTAAGTTTGCTATGTCATACATTCTTGGCACGCTGATAAAAATTCCACATGGATGAGTACCACTTAAACACCGAGGGCAATCATGGTTGATTGAGTCTACTGAATCAATTCTAAGTCGCTACTACATTATGATATGGAATGTATAGCTTAGCACATTAGCGACACACACAACATATACCTTACATAAATCATTACACATAAGTAGTTTCAATGTAGAAGTTACATAAGTGAAGTTTTAATACATGCTGAGAAATATATGTAACAATGTACGAACATTATAGTAGAACTCGCATTTATGAAGCCGTGAAAACATAATATTGTATTATTTTGATTTTTACCCTCTACAATATGATCAAAACGTATTAATGTAAATCATTATGTAATGCAGATAAACGTAGTCACAATGTAAAGTAATCCGCTCATCTAACATTTTTGTTGTATTTGCAGACATTTGTCGCCGAGGGCAAAGATCTAACAACAGTACGAATATACAAGAAACATCCGAAACCATGATGAACTAATATTGGATAGAGGAACACAGAACGAGAAATTGTTATAAATTTTACAGAGCAGACACGATGAAGGAAAAGGAACTACTTAAGTTGTGTTTACGATACGTTAAGCTGAAGCATTTATATGTGACTTGTATAAACAATGTATGTTTTTAGTTTCTATGTTTAACAACTCCTTGGGGACCTATAAGTGATCCATCCGCAACGAAGATTCACCCTACTGATGAGGTGCCAACTTGTCTACAGACAAAATCATACCATTAACACTAAGTATGACTTGGGTGTAACAGGTGCAGAGTCACACAGTAGTACCTTAATTGCCAATTGATCATGTGTGTGGCAATACTGATTATTAAAGGGAAACATGACAAAGTTGCGTTTACAGACTGTACTTAATGTGTATATCGTTATTTAGTTATTTACAAAATGATAGCAATAATTACTTCGCAATATATGTATAATAATCGTTCTCGTGTTACACAAACATATATAAATATATAAGGAATACTGTGGAATTCGCATGCACATAGATGCCCGTCGTTTGAATAAAGCGAGACAGTATTTATAAGGCAGTATATGAAATATAGTGAAATTTCCAGTTTAACTTGAAGATGGTAAACTACACCACAAAGTGGCTGCAACCCTACCGATATACCATTTTTTTCATATATATATCAAAATATCAAATTTTGGAATGCTTTACAAGGATACTGTCCTAGACATGTTCGGTAAGTGTACGTCAAAATTGTAAACTGAAGCATGTACAGGTAACAAATGAACTAGCTATAAGCACCAGGATGTACTGTATTATCTCTTTCGAAGACAGGGGTTCAGGATCAGTAGGCTATTTAGTACATCAGAGATACCAGGACATTACGTAAGTTTACTATTTAACTTGCGACGTATACCCTTAGTGTTTTTACAGCTTAGACTGCCAACAGTGTTCGAACTAACTTTTATTTAGAAAGCATACGTCTGAGGATTCCTGAGAGATTTACGTGTGTCTTTTGATTGATAAAGTTTATATTAAATGAAATTCAATACCTACCATTGAAGAAAAAACTAATATACTTCCACTACTGAATGCCGTAGAGTTAAATAACAAAAAATGTATCATCACTAGTTACTGTATTTATATAAAGGACACTTACGAAACACATTCCACCTAATTTATATTGACATTAATGTACTTTTAACGCATTATAATTGCATCTATGGGTTTTTGTTATCAATTCTAGTAAATGTTGAAATAAGTATATTGGTTAGCCACGCCCACAATATCACCTACATTTCAGACGTCTTTCAATCAGTACCTGACCTATGTTTACAGATCATTGTTAAAAGATACGCAGCGCAATGGTACCCATTATGGTAGGTTCCTCGTACCCCCAGTTCTTACATATGTATTCCTGTTCCATGTGACGTACTGTCAATATGGACTCGACGTGTACATATATTTGCATCGATTAATTATGGTTCGGTGTCTTTGTTCCCTAATCTGATAACGACTTTTTTTGTATTTTTTAACACAAAACGATTATTTAAGTAGTGTTACAGATATACACGTTATCGCCTCCGAATGGTTTACGAACCCCAGTTCGTATTCTTTTGGGTAACAATTTAAAATCAATATAGATATAAAGACATTTAAGCCAATTCTTTTCTGAATCCAATTATTTTGAACAGAAAAACTTATCTTAACTTTGGCGATAATGTAGAGGTTTGACTTAAATACGTCATAATGTTTTATGATGTTCAAAGGGCGTTAATTATTTGACGGGATACATCTCCAAAATAAATCTTCACGAAGTCTATAAATAGAACATTTGAAATTAAATACCTTGACAAATGCCGGTAATTATTTTGTAACCGATATGTGTGTTACCATTTACGTGTAGCTGATTAATTAAAGCAACAAAACAGGTCACTTGACATTTATTGTCGGAGGTCTGCTGATAGATAAAAACTACAAAACAGGTCACCTTAGCTTTATTATGTGAGGTCTACATGACACACCGGTTAAATCACTTAAATGCAAAAGTATTCTTTAGGTTCATTGTGTGCCTTTTGGTGAAAAGTGTCTGACCAATGTTTACCGATCATTGTTGAAACTCAATAGCTACATCAATGAACATTTGCAGCAATTGGGCATACTGAATAAACGCCTGCAATATTTGCCCAATTTAACCAACACTTTGAGGCTGCCAGATGCTGAGTTCAAATTTAATTTCGTTTAGGTTTAAGTAGAAAAACGCCCCAACTCAACCAGAGGCGGGCTCGGTGACATTCGGACAAAGTCACATAAGCTTGATTTCGCTTCATCATTGTAACTACTTAGATACCAATATACCCATGCACGGAACACTGAAACATTTGTGGCTAATGGTTTTGCTATTTCAAGGACTCTTCATCCCAATGTCGAAATAACAATACATATCACATAACTGATAACTGTGCGGAATATTTCTTCATGTGATATGACATGTTTCAGTAACGGGCTGTGATGACATATTTAACATAACACGATATAGCATGCCTGCTCCATATGACAACCAACAAAGAATGTAAGTGTATCCTTACTTACAGAAATTTCTTCCAAAGGAGGGGACAGCGATTTTTTCTGAATATTAATATATAAGCACAATATCCGATTGATCTTGTTGGTTCAACTAAAGTGTTCCAAATATTATCAGGACCAAACAGCATAAAGAAGTATTGATTATAACGTGTTGTTATGCAAATATAGCATGTCTATTGTAGCATGTTACCTACTTCCAAAGTCTTGATTCATGACTTTAGTTTGCAAAACACTTCTACAGTTATGACAGCCGTGTTTACTTCAACTATTACAGTCTCAACAAAATTCAATTATTATAAATAACATCCTCAAATTTTAAAACCAATTTCGTACTACCAATTGACTTAGAATGATAAGTAATAGAAAGTTTAACAATTACAATAATTATATGTTGTAAGTCACTCGTAGCTTGTTATGCTAACCATTCTTGGAGGATTATCCGCCCCAGACAAGGACTTACCACGGTAATTAATCTAACTTATTTATGGATTAGTGGAATTTGAAAGGATGAAAGGTGATAACAGACCTGAAACGTATTGATTGGCATATTCTAAATGTCCATTATAGGTTGTTAAGATACTACAAGCTGTAATCTTCCTGGTATTTCTACCGTAATCGATCGTTTTCTATATCAGGTATACCTTGTTCTATTGGCATATAGGTTCACTCGTTAGCAAACACACCGGAACGACGAGACATCATTTTGGTCGATAAATGTGCGATTTCATTATTTTTATACCATAAACGCATCATTAATTATGACTTAAATATATTCACTGGTAGGCTTGGTTATGTCTTATACAAGTCAGAAATGCATAGAAGGAATCGGATTACTAATTAAACAATACAGGTATTATACACACAATTTATAGATAATCAATACTTTCCATCACATTGATGACGCATGATATTAAGGTAATCATATTTGATGAAGTATATATTTGAATTTTGTCACAATGTGTCATACCTGCACTGGAGACGAGTGGGTATCGTGGAATCTCGCGGCGATATGGTTGCCAGTATTGATAAATAAACAGATACGATAATAATTTGATTTTCAAACATAATTCCTCGATGAAATGCAATGATATACATGCCAATATCAAATGTACTTTAATTGTTTAAGACGATATACATTAAACATAACAACGAGTAGTATCAGACTTCCTCTAACAATACCTCGTACCTGACAAGACATATGATGAGTGTCACAGCCTAATTAATCACAGTCCAGGTGGAAACTAGATACCACTAGCCCGACCATGAATAAGTAGGAATATAACAGTACACGAGGTATCAATTTCATATTAATAAATCGTGCCAGATTTTACCTGACAAACTTACCCTCACAGACTTGCGTTTCCGCCGTTTGTTTCCCAGTTTAGTCCCCATTTGTTACGACATCACGGTATTCTTACAGGTTAAATGATAGTGTTTTGTTATCCCAACAATTACAACCAACAGTATATATATAAATATATAATATCCACTGCGTTATAGCACCGGTAGTGTCAAGTCTCACTGTTACAACATTACCAACAATGTCCACTGATCACTGTAACACAGAAACCACCCTGACAGTCCGAACACCACGTGGGGTAATACCGTACATTGATGAGAGCTCTTGTCTTATAGATAGCTTTGTATCAGACGGCGCGAGTGTGACAGCCTACACAGGTATCACACAGGTAACGAAGGCTGTAGGCCCTAATCTCAACCCAGACAGAACAAATCACACAGGTAGAACATACAGCTAAATTTCCAAACACCCTAACTGCTAGGTCACGTGATGAGAGAAATTCAATGTTTAATCAGTGATTATAATTAAACCTCACATGAACAAAATCTGAAATGTTAACAAAAGGCATTAGGCCTTAAGTGTCCCCGGTAATCTTGATCCTATTTTAATAATTATTCTGAAACAAATCTGCATCGTGAACTAGTGCTATACAAACACATTAAGGAAGGCGAAGAGAATGTTGACACTGAAACACTACAGCTGAACACATATAACGATGGCCTATATTGAACTTCCATATCAACTTCCCCGTTATATGAGAGTTCTAACTGTACTTTAGTAAGCCAGGGAAGGCAAACATTTTACACAACGGTCTCATTAGTCGAGGTACCCATATCTATAGCTGATAATAGAGAATCGTGATGTATAGTTACTAAACAGACACTTGAGTACATGACATTTGCGTTTATATAATATTGGGGTAAATTAACGCCATCACGTGATGCGTTTAGAAAAGAAATCCTTACGATCCCTCTGACGTATTCTATATTATGATATATGGTAATTAACATTAATATATATTTGAAAATGAGGAACTTTGAAACTTGAAATATTTCTACATTCACTGGTGACTGCTGATGATTTTGTTTGTTATAAATACGTATATATACAGAAGTGACTGGATATGTTTTTGATTATTGATAAAATGATAATTATATTATGCAATAGCAACACAGGAGGACTAAAACAGACATCGAAGTCGATATAAAAATCACAACCACGTGAAGCTAGGCAAACCAAATCAAAATGCAAACTCACAAAATAATTTGAGACGAATCTATATACCCGTTTCCCGGACCACCTATGGCACCCTTCGTGACATCTCTAGTCAAGTACAAAAATGTATTATATCACTGTCGATCTTAGGAGCAGTGAACAAGTCTTTCGTTATGGCATGCAGAGAAATGCTATACCGTAAATGTATAAATTTCAGCGGTAGTCTTATTTAGCGCCTTTCGCTCTTTAAATATTGTGCGAAATTATAAGTAAGCCAATTGAGGTTCCTGTATATTTTCTATTGCATTCTTTGCGTGTGCATCAATGCGCCAATCAATTACAATTTGGTAATGCGCTAAAATACGCATGCTTACAGTAGTTAAAGAATTAAAAACAACGTATGCCTTACTTAATCACTAGATAGCACATGTGGACATATTAAAACTTATCACTTTTAATACAACACACACACACACACACACACACCCACACCCACACACACACACACACACACCACACACACACACACACACCCACACCCACACACCTTTTTCAAGATTTAGTACATCTATGCAGAAAAGAAAAGACTAATCAAAGTAAACATTTTCTACTGCTCTACTCATGATTCATCAGTGGTATAAAGAATGCAATGATGATGACTGTAAAACACCGCCGTGTAACAGTAGGAAAGCTCTGGTTTGGTAGCTTACTTGATACACAGAATGCTTCTATCGAGATGTGACAGGCTCTCGAGAGGTGAAACACCTGTGAAATGTGAACTCAATAAACAAGGTATTATAGGGTAGGAGACTTCGACCGGATAACCTTTCCTACAAGTTGGAAGTTAAGTGAAAGGGAATTCACATCATTGCGACAGTGATCATGGACACNCCCCCCCACCCCTTCCCCAGAAAAGATACAGATACATATCTTTTATTTGTCGAGTAACAAAACCGTATATACCATAATTGTAATTACGAGACTATCTTAACATCATGCCATTCGTTCCTCTATTTTGTTCTTTAATAGGGCGAACCACTTTCAATAATGAATTTATATTTACCTTTCTCTACAGTTATGCAGCACGATAGTGTTAGGGACACTAGATGAACAAATAGAAACGATAATGGACGATGGGGGATTTCCGTTTAAGGATTTTTTTATCGGAATTCTGATTGTGTTGTATTTGGTCACATAATTATTACCGATTCAAAGCTTTAGGATATCTAAGATCTAAGCAATACTACACAAGACAGTACTCCGTAGAATGGTCATGCATACTTATATGACATATATACACAATGCTTGCATATTAATGATTCGTCTATTAACACTTTGGTCATCGAGCCAGAACCAGACACAAGTCCTTCTCGTTGCACCAAGAACTCAATGTTGTTTTGTGCCATGCAGTAAACAAACACGTTCTACCGCAGACCACCAACTTTAAGAGGTCAGGTTATCGCTGATTTAAAGAGGCTTCAAATGTGGCTTTAATTAATGTTGTCTTTGTGCATTGGCAATCTTATCTATTGATAAGGCATCGACGTTACCGAGTACAACCCGATTAATTCTGCATATTATATACAATTCATTGTTAAATGTAGACTTTTCTAAAACAAAAGCCGTGCATTAAGCCAGGTTTCCCACGGTCCGGAATACTGATTTCTAACATTACATGTACGGAGTAAATCACTGGCCCTATAGAACAATGGACTAAAAGCATTGTGTGATAATCATCTATCGTTTGATATAAAAACACAACAAAGAGGTAGCGAATGCATCTTGTAATCATAGACGTCGATAATGGTTCCAAGTGTCAGGACAGCACAGAACGGACATATCACACCTCCACCATGCTCCGATCGACTGGCTACCGGCCCCTATGTTTTTTTGGGGGGTTTTTGTCAACATTTTCCCAGTTGCTCTATTCTACTAGTTAACCCCCCCACCACCACCACCACCGCCTAGTTTGAAATTTAGGACAGTCAGGCAACCCAGATATCTAAATGATAAAAGCCTGATTTTCATGTTTTTTCCCGTTATCAATCTAACTTTCACGAGACAGACGCCAGTCTGTCCAAACACCAACGACAGACATGAGAGTGGAAATTAATTACAATTAAGACGCAAATCTGTGTTAAAACTTATAAAAATTATAGGTATTATAACTCTGCTATTTCTATAACAATAAGTGTCCATTCACCAATGTTGAGAAGAACAAGACAGGTGGAGAAAAGAAATAAAAGGCAACAGTTTTATAGCAGAAATTGACAGCGATTCAGATGATAATAGAAATATATATATATATATATGAATAAAATATATACGTCAAGGACAATGATCAAAACAAAATGATCATAAGAAGAAAACATGTAAATATAAGATTTCTGGTTGTCATCTCTAATCATAGTAATGCAGTTAAAGAAAAAATGGCGAGGGTTATCAAATGATGAAGTTTTGAACAACTCGACCATGAGTGTTAGAGACAAGCTATAACAAATCGGGAGGTAAAGTTTAAAAAAAATAATGTTTTGGAGGAAAATATTGCAGAAATAATGAGTCTGTCTCTAATCAATATCTGAGAGTAATGATATTGATTCCAAGGGGAAGAAACCTATTTAAGAATAAGTGTTGATAATTATAAAGATATCACGGATTTAAATTTAGCTTAAGTTGACAAAACTTTAAACAATTAAGTTAATATTATATACACAGAACGAGATAATAATACCGTTATAATAACCAGGTAATGATTTTGTTGTCTCGATGCACATATAGACAAATGAATGGTGTTGAGTGTTTGCAGAAATAATAATAATAATAAAAAAAAACCTTTTAATATCCAAACAAATAACACTGCCATATCTGATAGTTTTAGTTTCACCCTCCAAAACAAGAGTCTATACTAATATGCTTTATAGAAACCATGACTGGAACCATTGAACCAAGTAACATACTATCATATCAGTATGGACTTTAGCAGACTGCCCGTTCCGATCGCGACTCACAGCTTATACCGCCCAAGGACAAACACACGTGTATGCCCACAACACAATCGTTCAAGCATTAGAAAGCATGTTTTGTTCTAGAATAGAAATCTTGTACAATTTAATATACGCTCTGACAAAATGTGGAAATACATTTACGGTGGATCATTGCTTATATAAAGTTTGTGGTTGATTATTTCCATCAGACTACGTTCTAGTATAGTCAATAAACTAAAGTGGATATTCTGCATCGCATGATCACATATTACGTAAGAAAAGCACTTGAAACCCTGCATTTTCTCTCTGATCAATATGTATCACACATTGAAGACATTCACAGACCACAGGCAGCGTCAACACCTATCTACAATATCAATGGACGTAGGTCCTTATATGATACAAACGTTTAGTCAAACGTTTAAATCTGTGTCTTAGACGGTTTTTTATTCCAAAAAATGTCATTAGTATATGGTTATCGTTTATGAATTCAGCTGACACATAGTGAGCTGAATACAAAAACGATAACCATATATTAAAACACTAAAATACGTTTTGCTCTTCATATGTTTTTCTCTCTTCTTTTCACTGCACACATAAGCATATTAAAGTACATATTAACAAACGTGTTAGAAGAAGTATCTCAGTCATAGGTAAATAAATTATAAGTATTGGATACATACAGTTGACAGTGGTTGTAAGTGATGGTATGTATGGTACGGTTATAACGTTCTATAGAAGAAATGACACACACCCAGGACATTTAAACGTGTATATAAGTGATCGACATAACCTCAAGTCACCTAACATATACTATATTGGGCGCCATGTTGTTTACGTAGCAACAACACGACAACTTGATTATCAGCGGAGTCAACCTACACGTGTCTGTGTGTACGTTGATCAGTCCTAATTTGTTCATATTTTATAGCTACCTGGCTGATATTCACACAGACCTTATAGAAAGTTGGACCCCGATTATCTGACTCGACTGTTGTAAAGCCCCTATATCACAGTTCCCAATCCCCTGTGACGTTTAGTGAGATTATAGACTTACCTGATAAGCGGATGTTCGAAACTTGTTCTTGAGGTTCATGCTGACGTCTCGGACCTGGTCACTCAGTCTCCGGAACTCCAACTGTCGGAAATCAACATTATTCCATAAGGCTGTCATTTTTGTCCTTGTCTCTAGCAACGGTATCTATGACTGTCCATGTATATGTTTATAAAACCCCTCCCGTCCCTCCTTCTCATTTGTGACTTTCTTCTCCGCGTCTTAAGAAGACACTTCTTATTCAAGTATCCGCATGCTTCACCTTCACCATGATAGACCATCAGGTCATGTAATTTGTTAAAAGTTTGGATCTCACTGTACCAAGACTAGCGGTGGAATGTGTAGGTACACCTATAACTATTGACAGTACAGATCAAGACGTTTACACACACTCCAACTTTCCACTTAGGAGTTAACTGGTCTATGGGTATTGTTGACTGCAAATGACCGTGACGCCCTGACTCAAAAGGCGTCTCCAGGTAAAACAAAAGTGATACTCCAGTAGTAAGGTACTGAGTGTACAGTCAGTGCATTCCAGGACGCGATATGCCCTTGCATAGCTGTATACTCGGCCTATATCTATGTAATATCCGGCACCATCTAATTATAATTCATTTTATTATAATTTATTGAACCCGACACTACCATCTGACCGAGCCGTCCTAGAGATCGGAGAGCCGAGCTCGTATTGTTAGGCTATAAACGCTACACAAAAACCTCATTGGACATGCCGGTGTATTTAGCTATACCTGCCCTGCTTATTAACTTTGTCAATTGAATTTTAACATATTCAAATTGTAATCTAAGTAACGTTCAAAAAGAAGTCAGTCTGGGCATTAATGTATTGTGGTATATACGCATTATATTACAAAATGTATAATCGGATTTACTTTAAATTCCAAATGGATCTTTACCCGAGGTATAGACAAGAAAACATAAAACCTACCTTGGTCAGTGTGCACAGGTTCTCTTCTGTAACAGACGTGTATAAAGTATTAATAACATTTTACATATATTACACCTTAACTATTCCAATGAGATATACAAATTACATGCTTGATTCGGTTGAGATGGCATATTGACAGGTGACCTTTTTATGTATAACGTATATGGGACGGAAACTATGGTATCAAATTATACATCTTTGTTAGTACGATAGCATGGTTGAAAGAACAAAAGGCATATTAATTCAAAGAGCATTGTCATAAACGGTAGACGTGGAGATAATACAATTGTCCATAGAAGATATCCAAGACAATGCACTAAGTTAGATCGTGTGCGCGTCGGTCAGAGGACGGATGACGTGATTGTATTAGCCATGACTTAATACAGTGAGCATACAGAGTCACCATCATACCATGTAATAGTGATATAACTCATACACTGACATACGAGACAATAGCCCCTCTACCTAACCCCACACGCTGTACGTAATATCATATAGGACATAACACAGGAATGTTCAGGGTCATATTATATCTATAATATTAATGGTGACACACATTTGGAAAATGCTTCTATACAAATGCCTTATTTCATTTCAAATAAAAAGAACGTTATTTATTACTAACTGGTCAAATCAACATAAATGTCATTTATCGAAGATTCCAGCAAATCACCAATACTTTTTTTTTACCTTACTAATAATAATAAAAATGAATTGAGAAATTACGATCCGAGGATTGAAACATGTTTTATTTGCCTCAAGGTGTAATCCATTTTATAAGATCCCGTCGGGAATTAGAACGATTGATGAATTGTAAAGAACATGCCGAGCGAAGTGTTCGGTGTACGTTATTATGTTAGCATAGTAATTCTTCTGTTATCGTATATGTGTGACACACCATCTAATAACTGGTACCCACCTACAATTAGCGGAACTACTAAGCATGTTACACGTGTTTTCCCTTTATTGGCATGTAAGAACCGGGTGTCGCTATTTGATTAATCTTGTTCAGTCAAGCATTTATAAAAGTATGTGTACATGTTAATGCGAGTCAAAATGAATAAATCCAATAAAATTTACACGACATTTTAACACTAACAGCACATGTGTATATAGGATGTTTTCTTATTTTACTCAGGGGAGTACATCGCCCTTTTTGTATGTGGCATTTAAAGCATTAATGTGATTATATTACACCTACACTATTTAGTGCAGGTTCTCTCACACGAGGTAAGTATTGATCGCCGGTATTGGCACAGCGTAGAGACATAACTCATGTAAGGCAATATAGGGATAGAGGAATGAAAATGACTAGTATTGTATGATAAACACTTATATATATTGTGTACATAAGGTGTGTGTGTTTGTATACAACATCTCGAGGGAAAAATAATTGATTTATTATAAAAATATAATTATGAAAAGCATACTTGTGATGATGTAATTGATTTATTACAAAAATATCAATATGAAACTCACACATGTGATGTAATATTCAAGTAAATCTTCTTTTAGAAATTTCGATTATGTGTTATTAACAAGGATTCGATTACACCTAAAATTGCGTTAAGAAGTTTTTTTATTGAAATTTAAAAACTCTCAATGATCATAACAAGGGTTTCTTTCACTATTAGTTGCTGTCATCATGAACGTGGACCATTGTATGGCCTATCGGTTATGCTGGGGATCAATACCCGTGTTGACGAGTCATACCTGTCACTGTTGACGGATCATTACTTAACCTTGAAGCTATGTACGACCTAATGTTGTTGGATACCAGGGCACATTTAAAACAGGGCTTTATACAATGGCGTGTTGAAAAGAAAGAGGAAATTGTTTTACTTTTTAAAAAACAAATACCTTTCACACTAAGTAAACTTTGTACATACTGAAGATCGAAGACATATAAAGGGACAATAACTCAGTTTTCAATCTCTACAATCAAAGAAAATTATTATTATTGTTATACACAGTTATGTTTCCTTTCAGTAAGTTTTCCACATGGACATTAAAACTACAAAGTTCAATCGAATATTTATCATATCTAAGATATAGAATACCATGGTATGTAACGGTATATATGAATTGCATTTCTTTTCACTCTATTAACGTTTTCGACTTGAGCAATAAATCATATTTCTTTTTTCACATTATAAAATAATGAATAATTGTAGTTATCTCCGTTCTTTTTTCAGTTCTTTTGTTGCCAATAATGTAGACGGTTCTTAACACCTGATAATGGTTCATGATATAAGAAGTAATGATTTAAAGTAATGTGTTTATCAAGACTGATTATTGTAGCATGAACGGTCGATAATGATACAGCAAGGTTATATCCTGACAGCTACATGTATATGATCACAAACTTAATCAAACTTGATTAAACTACCGCGTTTCCTTCAGAACTGACCATACAGCATCGTGCCAAAAGTATTAGCAACTTGCCCGGATCTACTCTATATTTCATACATTTCTATCTGCTTCATTGAATTTATCTGTAGTCATTTACTATGCCACTGAAATGGAATAAGACATCACGAAAGAAATTTAACTGAGATTTATCAGATAATGTTTTCATACGTTCCCGTGGAATGATTTACAAGATAAGACCAGTTATTTCTTGAAATAACATGTCACTGCTATTATTTCGCAATGCAAAGAACAAAGTGGTTTTGCAAAAACGATCTCATCTGATTAGCATGACATACCTTGAAAATACATAGTTATTTGTATTGTTTACAAAGTCAGGATTAAACAGGAACGAACTGACCGGCTACCAAAAACAGGGTCAGAACATAAAACGGATGGGTATGAATCTTGTTGACCCATTCTGTTTGTTGGTTTTGATGTAGACTTAAGTATGATATACGTTATGTACACAAGGTGTCCTATCAAACAGTCATGAAAAGAGTAAGTGGACAACCTATCAGACAGAAGAGCATGATCCCGGAAAACGATAAGACTAAGAGCTGTTTGTCCACAACCACTTCAACTTTCACAAAGTTAAAGTCTGGTGAGTAAATATATCAACAGTGCCAGCAAACAGATCAGTAACACACACTGTAGGCGTTGTATCCAATTTATCCTTGGCTATGGTAGCATGACCTTGACAAAGTGTCGAGATTACTTTCAATAAGAATGGAATAAAAAAAGTCAAACTATGACCATCTGCTATGACGTCTGATTTCAAAGTTGCATTACTTACTTTCTTTGTCATCCTTCTCATTGCCCTCCTCGCCCGTCATCTCTTCCTTTGTGTTGGTGTCTAGGGCGCCAGAAGACCAACCAAGGACTTGCAGCGTCGTCTGGAAACAAGAAAAACACCTTATAAATCAGAAGTATGCTACATTGGAGACAGAAACGCCTTTAATATCTTTTGAGTGCAATTATCATGTAAATAATGTTGTCTACAAATGCATGTTATTAGTTTTACCACATTTAGGTACAAGTAAATCGATGATATTTTCTTATTCAATAAAACATACAAAACGTATATATGCCGCGGGCGTCACGCCATCAGAAGATTTGGAAAACATCGTCTTTGAGTAGTGTATATAATAAAACAGGTGTTATGTGTTTGTCGTTCGGCACTTTTATTTGTAGTTCAGCTTAATACTTTAGGTAGAGATCTGTTTTGCACGCAATCCGTTCGGTTAGTTTTAAGTGTCATGTTTTCTACACAAACTTGTAATAATGGGTTTCACACTCAGGGAATATGAGCCCACTGTTTTATTATGAACACGTTGCACCCCTCACAATATGCTTAATATATCTGCATCAAAACCCGTTCCATGTGTGCCACACTATCCATTCCACAAACTAAACACTCTCCATTGTTTTCACACTGGCGTTCCTCTTCTTGTCAGCAATATGATATGTAAACTAAAACATAGATTCCATGATTAATGTCGCTCTGTTGATATCTTGCTGGTCAGATTATTGCATGTTGTTTTTCTGTCGATTAAGTTCTACCTACACTCTTAACCAGTTTAAACAACAGAAAACCATGAAACATCCTCCCGGTGTCCTCCTTAATAGCAAAACATTGTCATACGACAGAGAAAAGAAAGCAAACCACTCTTGTCGTCCATTGTACGCACAGTTGTTCCAGAGCTACCCCACCTAACACCTGTACACACATGGGAGGTTTACCGGAGATAAAATAATCATTATCTACCACATATAGAAATAAATAAACGTCAGTTAGCAATCCATCGATCGAGCATAATCTAATTTCTCTAGTAAAACCAGTTTTATTTAACACTGGATAGATGGCGTTTAAATATATATTCAATCGATCCAAACTATTACTCAAACAGCTTTTATCGGTAACAACCAATTCTCGCGTTTTTCACACATAGGTGAATAAAGACAGTTCGATACTTCATATTATAATGAATTCGATTAATGTGAATGGCTTTCATCTGTTACGAAACTACTCTTTAAAGCATTTGAATAAAGAGATTCAGCAAGGACAAAAGGTAAACCAAGGTCTAGAAAATAGAAAGATATAATGAGGTGTCCTTTAATATGTCTAGGACATGATTAGGACGATTAGGACAATTGTGAGCATATTATAATGAGACGGATCTATTTACTCCCACGTTATCCATGTGTAATCTCATAAATACTAATATACGAGTATCCTTTTATCACTTACTTCAAAACAAATCTTAAAAATTTCCAGTAGGCCATGAGTTCCAATAGACAGGCAACTTTCTCTGTTCTCTATCTAAATAGAAATCCCCAGCACTGAAATTAGCAAGGTCGTTCTAAGTCGATGTGCTGTTTGAACAAATTGTGTGAAGGGCTTCTTGGTGTTTAATTAATCCGCGATATATTCTTCACAATACAGAGGTGTTATTAGTCGAATTCCTCCACTATATGTAACATTTAGCCTCTAAGTGTTCATCGGTGGTGTTTTGAACGATATCCAGTACACATTTGGTGTACTTACAACACTGTTTTTCCTCTGTTTTAATGACATTGGTTACAACCTTAGTTACTGAATGTTCTGAATAATAAAATGTTCAAAAAATGGTTAGTATATGCAAAACAACCTATGAATCATTATGTTTTCAAAATGCTATTAACATAAAAAAAAATCAGACGATTTTATGTTAAAAAAGACGATGATAGATTGAAGAACGATTATACGTTAAATTAAACACAATGTTGTAAATTTGCGCAGCATGAATTTTTAGAGCACGTTATTTTCTGCTGATGCATCAATCACAATATGGAAAAATTAAAATTAAAGTTATATGATATATTGACGACATGAGGTGAAGAAAACAAATTCGTTTATTTCAAATTATTGCTTTTATATGCAAATTTAGAAAACATCAAAACGACCATTCCTATACGAGCAACCAACTAATATCATTCCAGCTTTAAATATTCAAATATCAGAGAGGTTTACAGAGAAAAATATAACCAGCATGTAAAACCTTGATGTAGAATTTATCTTCAAGATCCGTCTTGGATTAGCATAACACGTGTTAGCACCCAGACACAATCGACCATTCGTTTTACGAGTACTAACAAACATTTAATGGTTTTTAATACTTTTACAATTTGCTTTTAAATACCAATTACTGGCATGTTTACACACGGAATGTAATACATCAGCACATAAAGTGTATCATACAAATACACAATCATAACAAATCCTCGGCCATTGAAAATTGATGGTAGGATAAACTTAGTGGCACACAGAGACCGTTCGCGTTTTACAATATACATCATACGTAATGGATTCAGTACAAGAAGACGACTACAATATGAAATCACAGTTTTCGTTGTTTAAATAAGATACTAATATTCAAAAATAGTAACTCAAGTTGTTTTTGTTATACACTTATTTAAATAGGAAATTATCATAAAAGAAGCCAAATTAATGTTTTTAAAGAGAAAGGAAAAAACGTCGATCGATAAATGATACGAAATATTCATTTTGATTTATTATGCTTTACGAACGCACTCGCAGTAACAAAAATTTGAAATAAATACTATTCAAATGGTATATCCTCAAGGATAGATAAATAGCAAACAGCAGAAATATCTTCCACAACTATATTTGCTTCTGTAAATAAAGTTTTCACCTACCGTAATCTTGATATCTCCGGGTATCAGAAAAAGGAAAGCACGCGTCATAGAGTGTTCATATAAAACAGAGTAAGGTACTTACACGTTACGGACGTTGAAGTTTCTGGTTGACGTTTAGAACATTCCTCGAGTACTAACCTATTGCAGCACGGCAAGATTTGACACTAAGATCTGCTTGTGTATTGTCCTGTTTTCGTTTGATAGTTTGTATTTTTAGCAAATCAGCATGTATGCCATAAATAACACTGGTTATTAATTAATAATCTATTATCCGTCCCGTACGTTCGAGTCCCACAATGGTGTATGTAAGACAAAGAACAAGCTGTGATCACCAGGTACCCACCTTATATACGTGGTCGGAGGGCGACCTGTGTTACACTGGACATACCTCCAGAAAGTTTGGTCAACTTTACAGTAATAAAATATTCTCTAACTTAACACAAATATATTATATGGCTAATAGATAAAATATATGTAACTGTTTTTCATCAATTCACCGCTTTTTCTCTCAACCATACATTTTAATCTGTTTGATATCGGTGAAAACAACGCAAGACATGATCGGAGTTCACTTTGTTCACTTTGCTAACCGGAGTTTTAAGAAATGGGCCCATGTTTCTAATACTTCATACTGATATCTCCTTCCATAAAGGTTTCCACAACATCCTCCAACAAGGCAGATCTAACCAAAAACTAAATCCTTAGACAGCACGTGCATCTAGCATGCCTAAAAGGATAGATTAAGTCTATATCCTAGATATCGATCGCTAGGAATCAATTACCCCACCAAGATAGAATCAGCCAATATTTAAATCCCAAATCGATAGCTTTATGTATATAGGTATGACATAAGCCTTACTCTTATAGTCTCAAAAAGCCATTTATAAAGGCAACTAACCTTCATGTGGTATTTAATTTTTTTTGCCAGTAAAATAAATCCCATTTATACTTTGATGTTACATGATTATATTGTTCATATTAAAACTTCAGAGAAGAAAACAAAAATCCTTTTCACTAATGAATTTGGTGATTCTAAGAATACCGAACAGTATCTTTTTTTCTCTGTAATAGTTACGTATGCCACTACTTAAAGACATGGCTAGGGCAAAGTGACAGGGACAGCTCAGAGAACATGGAAGTTTACTTTTGTTTTAGTAAATCATGGTGTTGATTATGACTTTTCACTTTACTATGTACATGTAGGATACAACCAAAGGGCCCGAAGTATAATCTGGGATGTTCGCCGTTATCTCCTGATGAAAGGATGAAGAGATACCAAATAAATCAGCTTCACACATTACAATACTCCCATGCACACCCCACCGCACCTTTTGTCACTTCCTGAGATTCTCTTGACACATCCGCCATTTACACATTTGATAATATCAGATATAAAAAAATACTGAACGCATTTTAAAACAAACGTTTAAACAATAGTCACCACACTAACAAACTTCATAACACACGTGACGTGTTCAATTTCACAATCGTTCAATGTTGCTATTTGCAGTTTCAACACACAACATCCCATCCGTAGTTTATTTGGCACATTTGATTGAACGGTGTCTGATCCAAGTATCGGTATAATCTAAGTGTGTATGGTTGATCAATCGACTACAAAACTAAGGACTTCTCACGGATAGGCTTCAGGACTTCTCACGGATAGGCTTCAGGACTTCTCACGGATAGGCTTCAGGACTTCTCACGGATAGGCTTCAGGACTTCTCACGGATAGGCTTCAGGACTTCTCACGGATAGGCTTCAGGACTTCTCACGGATAGGCTTCAGGACTTCTCACGGATAGGCTTCAGGACTTCTCACGGATAGGCTTCAGGACTTCTCACGGATAGGCTTCAGGACTTCTCACGGATAGGCTTCAGGACTTCTCACGGATAGGCTTCAGGACTTCTCACGGATAGGCTTCAGGACTTCTCACGGATAGGCTTCAGGACTTCTCACGGATAGGCTTCAGGACTTCTCACGGATAGGCTTCAGGACTTCTCACGGATAGGCTTCAGGACTTCTCACGGATAGGTTTCAGGACTTCTCACGGATAGGCTTCAGGACTTCTCACGGATATGCTTCAGGACTTCTCACGGGTAGGCTTCAGGACTTCTCACGGATAGGCTTCAGGACTTCTCACGGGTAGCCTTCAGGACTTCTCACGGATAGGCTTCAATATATGATGAAGTTGTGGTGTCGTCATCAAGAGCTGATTTTCAATTTCAATATTTCGATATCAACCACATATTAACAACCTACATATTTGTTTATTTGACAACAGACATGATACCGAGTATCATGTTTGGTAAAAGAAACGTTTACTCCCCTGGATCAAATAATTTTGTCTCCGGCCTTTGTAGGCATTTATGATGTATTTCCTATGTTGTTTTGATGTCTCCACACTTTTCCTAATTCATGTTTTCTCTTTTTACTTCAAATACAGAATACCAGTCTGGACAAAATAAATGCATTTAACAATGTAGCTATGGTCCTCAATCTATTAATATCACATAAAAACTCGTTATTTAAAGCATTATATATATAATACATATCCTTATGAGTCTATCATATACATGAAAAAGGGAGGCAACTCGAGAATTAAAAAACCTCAGTTAAGTTGTCTCCATAGATCAACGTGTGTTGCCGATTTGTTAATTACCTTGCTAACTGAAGAAAATCCAGTTAAAACATAACGATTTAATTCCCATTGATCATGTGATGACAAGAAATGAAATATTCTCAAAAACGTTTGTCAGAATATCATTATGATATCATAAAATATAAAATAAATATGATAAATATTGAAATGATCTTGATAAAAAAAACAAAGCCGCCATGTTCGTGTCAGTAACTTATTTATAAACTGTTAGCGTTGACCTACAAATATACTTATCAACTTAATATTTCGGCCGAAGTTCAGAATCGAGATATCAATTTTATGTGTGATAATGGAATTATCAATACACGACATCTTTGTTATGTTTTGTTTTTATTGTCTATACACGTGGTGGTTGGATACATGCATACCATATAGTCTGCTAGTCAAATAGTGATCTTCAATTAGTGGCCATTGTTTCTGTTAGGTCAGAAATATCACACTATAAAGTGTCACAGTAACATTTATTACATTATTTGATCGAGTTATTCACAATAAAAGGTTCGCGCAGTGTAACCGATATAGATTTAATATACAATTATTAACGGGATCGTGTTTACAGCCCCTTGAACTCTCTAACAAATGTTAGTAAAATAATACACTGTATCCAGTCATTGAAATCTCCGTTATTGAAATCTCCGTTATCCTATAACAAAGAGAACTTTAAAGAGAACTTGTTAGTTTTAAAATTAGTTTTAAACAAAAAAAGTTACTTGTTTTGACCAAAACTACAGTAACGTTTTATATTTCTAAATACGACAGGCCTAATTCCAAAACTTTAGTTTGTCTTCAATAATAAAAACGCTAATTTAAAAAAAACTAGTAATTAATTGTCAAGTTGACAATACATGGGTATGCATGTAAATACTTAAAATAAGGAAGTCGTTTTATAAGACAAACAGTCGTACAGAGCTAGGAGTAAAAATTTGTATTTGCCTAATACAAATATATGTGCCGATTTCTTAGGGATATCTTACTGCAAGTATTTTGAATGGTTACATTCTTGTACGAATTAACATTGTTTTTGTACAAAGATCAGGACTTGCTTTTATAAGATACCAACTCTACATCGTATAAATCTTTTGATACTTGCATTCTTATAGTATTATCCTTTTAGCATATAAATGGTTTAATTTATGATCACATCGATTTATCGTAATGTATTATATGTACGGGATTAAGTCATTTCCTGCTATCAGGCATATTAGCAATTGAAATTTAAGTATATTTGTATAAAGGATCGGCCAACTGATTTATCGACTCCGGCCGTGATCAATTACGCTGAAAGAAACATGCTACTTTGACTTTACGTGCCTTGAGTTTGTTACGGAATCACGATCTCTTGAATCATGACATTTTACAGATCACTTTAAATGGATTTGTCTGGTTTTACTATTATTATTGAATGCGGTGGAAATAAATTTATAAAATCATATTTCACTCTCACATTTTAGCGTCAGTACTTTATTACAGGAAATTATACAAATATCACGCGTTTCTTATCAGTTTTTCTTTGCTGTCCCATCTTTTTCATCTTTCTTTTTACACAAGGACAATCAATATTGACTTTAAAACGACGGGGATTTTTTTTTTTTATCTCAAAACGCTTCAAAACGTTATCAGTTATTTAAAAAATAGTAGGTCTTTGTTTTAACCTTGAGTGGTAAATTGAAATTATAAAAGCTTCTTTTCTTTAACATCATAAGTGTGTTTGTTAGCCAACGCCCACTAGAGCAACAACCCCACTTCATGACAATATGCATGCTTAAACATAAAGAAATGCTATAGATATGAATGAATTGAGAATAAACCCCAATAAAGAAAGAAAACAAATTATATTTTTGAAAGTACAGTGTATACATATTTTGAGGAGCAAACTTCTCATAATATTAGCGACGATACAACGAGGCCCTAGTTCAGTCACACATAACCAATAACATGTATTCAATTCAAAGTTTGGCTGAACATCTTAATGTAGAGCTTCCCTTTACCGAGGATCCTATCGATATAATCATGAGATTTGAAGAACTTTAAACTGTCCAACTTATCCAAGTACATTCAAAATATTTCAAAAACTTGTTTGCTATACACTGAAGTGAGGTGTAGACATTTTTCCAGTTGCACTTCGTTTGCTACTTCATAAAGCCATTCTGCATTACCATTAACTTAAAGATTATAACAATTAATAATTTTAAGTGGATTGTTCAATTTTGCCTTCGATCGTTTAAACTTCTTAAAGTGTATAATGGTTATAAATGGAATTGAACCATAGTTTGCCGTCCTGTGTCGACTACTGACAATGCTCTATGGGGTCGTGGCGTCCTGTGTGGACTGCTGACAATGTTGAATGAAGGTCTGTCGTCCTGTGTGGACTACTGACAATGCTGTACGGGGTCGTGTCGTCCTGTGTGGACTACTGACAATGATGTATTAGGGCCTGTCGTCCTGTTTGGACTAGTGACAACGTTAATGAGGGCTTGTCGTGTCCTGTTTGGACTAGTGACAATGTTAATGAGGGCGTGTCGTCTTGTGCTGACTAGAGACAATGTTGATGAGGGCGTGTCGTCCTGTGTTGACTAGCGACAATGTCAATGAGGGTGTGTCGTCCTGTGTGGACTACTGACAGTGTTGGATGAGGGTCTGTCGTCCTGTTTGGACTAGTGACAATGTTAATGAGGGCGTGTCGTCTTGTGCTGACTAGAGACAATGTTTATGAGGGGGTGTCGTCCTGTGTGGACTACTGACAATGTTGGATGAGGGTCTGTCGTCCTGTTTGGACTAGTGACAATGTTAATGAGGGCGTGTCGTCCTGTGTTGACTGGAGATAATGTCAATGAGGGCGTGTTATCCTGTGTCGACTAGCGGCCATGTTGTATGAGAGCGTTCCGTCCTGTGTCGAATAGTACAACGTTATGGGGGGGGGGGGGGGGG